CGGCCAACGGCGGCAGCGCCGCTGCAGGAATTGGTCGCTACAACGCCAGTCGCATGCTTTGACGAGATAGGTTCGATGCACAATGACCTTGTTGAAGCCCCAAAAAAACGGTGCTGTGACTCCGCGAGAGTGAGCCAGCAAGTGCGCGTCCGACCTCGGTTTTGGTGACATCGCAGGTTCCCGTCGCCATCACACGCTGCGACTCCACGACACGGAACAATCTTCTCAAGCTCACGCGTGGCTCAAATTCGCCTCGAGACTCAGATGCGGTTAGGCAACTCCGCAGACATCGATTCGCGACAGAAAACCTCGGTGAGGTTGCGCTGGCCACGAGCCGGCATGACGCTGGACGCAAAACACCACTCAACGGTCTTCGTGCCCCGTCGCCATGGGCAATTAGCAATGATTCGCCGCTTCTGTGAGAATCTTGATCATATCCACTTGAGCTCCTCAAGATTTTGACATGTGCTGCAGAGACAGCATTCTGAAGGCATCATGCTCGCGACCTGACTCCATGCCGGTGAACGAAGGATAAACCTACCCTTCCTATCCTTGCATCTGCTCCAGCTCATTCTGATGCGAACCTCATACGGATCACCGTCAAAATCTATCATAATCAGATGTTCAGGCAATCGGTCAGCAGTGCAAAGCCCTTCCACACGTACTTTCAACAAGTCGTTTCTCACTGCCACCACCGCGCACGGCTACACGATAATCTACATCGCTCGGCCTTTTCCACAAGAAACTGGTGCAATCTCGTTGTAAGCGCGGTTTCATATCCTGCAAGGAGGCGACTCGACGCAAGGGGTGGTCAACACACGTGGTGGCTACCCAGCATATCTCGGCTGTGCCATGAGCTTAATACAACATCTATCTAGAACCACCATGCCAGAGATGAGAACTAGGATTCTAGATGAGGGTATAGCCATTGGAATTGGAAGAATGAAAGTTGTCGCTACCGCAAGGACAGGTACTCGTACAAGTGATTCAATTCTTACTGTACCCCAAATTGCGATGCACGACGCTCTGCAGACGAAGCAACGTCCTTTCCGCTCTGAAATCCCGCGTGTCTGCTGTCCGAATATTCTTTGAGCAAGCCAGCGACGTCTTTTCTATGGGTATTAAGGCGCTTTACCATTGACGCTACGAGGCAGTCACTTTTCTCGCTACAACTCTCCAAATATCCGCCAAAAGCTTCATATCTCCATCATACAAACCAATGGTTCCACACACCGTACTAACAGCTTGTTAGGCTCGCGTTCTAAGTGCTCATTTGTTTTTGAGCCTCAAATCCAGACTCTTGAAGGCCAGGTCAAGCGCGTCTATGACCAGTACAGCAGCCGCCCCAATCCCTTCGCCAACAACACCTTCATGACGAGCATGAAGGAACAAAGCGATGTGCTTTACTACCGCGTACTCCCCCAAATTTGCCCCGTCCTCTCTTTCCCCCATGCTCATCTACCTTGTCCTTGGTCCGTGTTGCAGGCAGACACCGATGCCTGACGACCAAGTCGGCTTCGAGCATGCCGCTTTTCCCTCATCTGAGGCCGAATGATATCTTAGGCAGCCAAATATAACCGCCGCGGTGAGCTGGCAAGAATCGGTGAAGTTGACTGACCCGCTGTGCAATTTGGCGTCGAAACCCTGGCGCCGGAGTGGCCTCACCATCCTTTCCTAAGCTTGCGAAGCTTCTTTGTTTTAAGCCTATCTCTAGGTCTTGATCGGTTTTCATTGCTCCCTTCTAGCGTTCAGATGAAAGGCATCTCATTTCTTTTCAGTGCGAATAAATAGTAACCCCTTTAGCACGAACTTCAAAGGACGAAAACTCGTGCGAGCAGCGGCGCTTTGCGGCAGCGGATGTTCGAAGGAGCTCTGAGGGATGAGTCAATAGAGGGATTTTCTGGCTGGTTGTTTGCTATCCACGTCAGTGACTATGAAGAGATAAAAGGAAGAGTGTTGGGGAAAATGATCGAACACATACACAAGCACAGAAGACTACTAAACCTTCAGTCTTCTTCCTTGGATTATAGCTCTCTCTCTCTCATGTAACCCGGGATAACTGCATCTCTTTTCTGACCACGTGGGTTGTTTGCTAGAATATGGTACCTCTCTAGGTAGAATAATTGAAGTTTTCGGCCGGGAGTTTGCTGTCTCCATTCTTTCGTCTCAGATGAGGGCACGCCTGTCCGGTTGTAGGGCGAGATGGTAAATAAACGGGGAGTGGCGCTAGGATAACTTTTGCATTGGCCTTTTGAAGAATTTGCTACGATTTCTGGTGTTTTGCATCCTCAGCTCATCACGAGTAGACACGGTACGCGCCAGATTGTCCTGACCTTTGGTCTGTATCGATTTCATAGGCATGCGCAGTGAGGTCAAGCCAAACTCGATATGTTTCTAGATGCCGGGGGCTGTACGAACCAGAACGCCCGACCGCAACTTGGCTGCGGTACCATAGTCATCCTCTGGTTCGTGAATATTCGGAGCTTAGGGGTAATAACTCACATCACAGAGACCAGATCATGCTCGTACACGTCCAAGAATACGAGTGTATCCCTCCTCCCTTGAACCAGTCTACGCAGTGATCCATGTAAATGTCCAGCATCTTTAGTTTCGTGTCCCCAAAATGTCGTAGTTTGTTCAAACCTGGAGCCTTAACATCCCTTTTCTTAGAGCCAACATGCCGTAGCTCAATGGCAACTTCACTGCCATCAGCACCTTCCACTCTGCGAAAAGCCGCTTGCATCCTAATACCCACCACTGTTGAGCCAATTGTTCAGGTTCATGAAGAATGTTCAAAGCTCAGCAAGGGACCATCTCCACCTCAAGTATAATCCATCTCCCCCATGCCCTTTTCTTTTCTGCAGCCGGAAATTCGGCGAGGTCCCGGTCAATTCTCGGATGCGTGGAGGATGGTTTCAGTCATCGGTCAGGGCTAGCTAGCAGGTGGCATTGCAGATCATGACCGTCCTTTAAGGTGTCATTGATCGTGGATGGCTCTGTAAGATTGTGTCAGCGTGGAAATTGCACGATGACTCGTAATGACTCACCAGTCTCTGATATGCCTGATCAAGCAACAGGAAGCAATGCCATTTCATAAGAGCTGGTCTGCGTGGAAGCAGCCAGGAATCCCACGTGTGGTCCTTGTCCATGGCATGGCTGTGCGGACTTAAGGCAAGAATCACCCACTCGCAAGGACAGACGCAGAGGATACGGTTGCGAAATTGCTTGTTCTTTGTCCATGTTTCTAACCAGGCATAGCGGGATGCTTCTTGAGGCAGCGTTGTTGCGCTTGTTAATGTGCAGCTACTAGATCGTTTGTCGCACCCAGTCCCATGCTTCAAGTATCCATTGTCAGGAGGGAATACAATGCAACCGCCTTTCCTCCTATGCGCAGGTGCTTGTGATGTAATTTGCTGAACCCGAAGGACCCGTTTCTCGTGGAATGGAGGGCGGCCAGGTCATCAAGCGGATTTGAATTGTGGACGAGAAGGGATGCAGGTTCGGGGTTTCGCGCAGGATCGCAGCCTTTGGGGCCCATGGGAAACCTGCCACGTCGGATTCTGTCAGAAAAAGAAGCGTTCGCGAAAGAAAAGCCCCGTAAGGGTCATGAGTGTGTGACGCAAGTATGACTGGGTTGGAAGGGAGCTCACTGACTCCCGCGACGCGAGGGCTTCTTGAATCTCCTGGGCCTTGATAGAACGAACGGTTGGGTCTGCGGCTGGTGCTTGAGTGCAGCATTGTTGGGATGGGAGTGGGGCAACGCGAGGTAGTCGGTGGTCCGATGGAGGGCGTCGCTGGGTCGAAGGCCGAATGTAGCCTGTACGAAGTAAGCGCGCAGAGCAGACCTGCGCCCAAAAAAAGCTCTGCCAACACAGCTTGCACTCTTTTACACTCTTAATACTGCTTCTGATGCACCCATTGGATAGGCCTTTGTGCCACGGCACACAAGGGCGACTGGATCTGGGCGGCGCAAACGCGCTACTCAAACACGATGCACCTGTGCGCTGTTTGCGCACCGCAGCAACTTCATGCAAACAGCCTCGCGCTCAAAAATATCCCCTTTTCCGATGACATACTACGCATGGTCGACAGACGACCGTTCGGATCGCCATGGAGCGGCGGCAAGCTCCTGAACTGTGGCGTTCTCAGCGAATGGTGCAGCACTCCTAGAGCTGACACTGGGCCGCACTTAATTGTCCGAGGAACCTGTCTAGCCACCGGAGGAAAGTTACCTAGCGCGGGATAGGCTGCGCCCCTTGGAGGCATCGACAGCCATGGAATCACAGAGATACATGCGCAGGCACTCGTTTCTACCCCTCTCGAGTCCCAGCCTACTTGTTACCATCATGCAGAAGCTAAGCTATGAATTCATGCAAGAAGCTTCCTCCTTGATCATCTATCACGGTCATGCGTGGCATTTGTCGAGGGAATTGCTGTATTCACTGAGCCGCTGTAGCTTAGCTAAGCGAGCCTGGAGGCAGTAACAGGCAGCAGCTGTGGGGCGCCGCGCAGGTGGGACTTTCCTTTGCGAGTTGCCAGCCTTACGTCACTTCAGCTGTCCTTTTTTCCGCTGAACTCCACCCTCTACTCTCGACCTAACACCACAGCGACCGCCCTCCTCTTCAGCAACAAGCTCTCGGTACGTTGTTTCTCATGACCGCAATCCTCCACCCCCCTCCTCTCCACCCTACTCATGAATCTTCCTGGCAAGCCGCTGCTTCGTGGCTGAACTACCATCCATCCGCACCTCCCCTCCACTGTCCCCTCAGGCGAGCAGCTAGCTGCTCAACAGCGAGGGTGAGCCCGGCTTTTTTGCACACTGTCATCAGCGAGAGACAAGCAGGCACTGGGCCAGCGCTGACCACACTCGCCCCCTTGACTGTCCAGCATGACTGCATTCAACCCAGTCAGCCTTGTCCCCCCTACTCTTCTTCATGCACAGCTCTTCGCTTTTATGTTATGGAGTGTTACTAACAGCTTCCCGTTTCCAGATATTCCTAATGTCGGCCAGCCGCCGCCCTGATTCCAGCCGCTCCTGGCGAGAGACGGCTTTACTCCGCCCGTCCTTGGCACAGCCAACGGACTAGGAGCTCAGAAGATCTCGTACGCACCCTCTCCTTTCTCTTACTATTCCTCGTCCTCACCGTCCTCATCAGCCTAAGCGAGCTTACTGACCGTGCCGGCTTCCCACAGGCCCACACGGGATCGCGACACTGGCCGCAGCCGTGGCTTTGGCTTCGTCCGCTTCACGCAGGAATCCGATGCTGAAGCCGCCATTCACCCCCGGCGTCACAACCGGTTGGACAACCAGGTTATGGGAAGGCCGTTGAGCCACCCAGTGAGCCCGTCCGGGCTGGCAAACCACGAGGAAGAAAAGGAGATTCCTACTAAGAAGAAGTCCAAGCCATCCTCCAAACTCTCAAAGGCCAACAACGCTGGCCAAAGGAACCGCGCCAACGCCGCCACTGTTCCCTCACTCACCGTCTCAAACGACGCCAGCGCCAACCAAAACAGCGCCAACAAGGCCTCGCCAACGATCCCATCTACAAGCGCTGCGTCGGCCCTCCTGGGCGAGGACCCTTGCATCCAGCACGCAGCCACAGTCGAACATGGCAACGCCATTTGGCCTGCCGGCCATTCATTGGTCACCCTGCTGTCCTGTGCCCAGACGGGCAAGACCGGCCGCACGCCTGAGGGCATTCCGTTGAGACATAAGTCGCGCTGCCTGCGCGCCCCAAGCCTTGATTGTTGAATACCCGGCCGAGGAGGCCATGGCCCGCGACTACCTACTGGGCAACGACGACCGCCCGAACCTCTTCCTGTCTATCACTCTCTGGCTCGAGGGCCACAACAGCGCCCGCCTGGGCACCTACAGCCTGTGGCGTAGCCGCGTCCTCCCTGGCCAGCCCGGCCCTGTCGGCGGCTTCTTGGGCAACGGCACTGAGTACGCGCCTAAGTGTCTCGTCCGCAACGAGCGCTTCACGGCTCCTGGCGGCAATGCGGATGCTGGCGACGGCGAGATCTTCTTCTCGTTTGCGGACCTCGCGCCCAGGTGCCATGACTGGATCAGGTCGCAGCCGGTCTGCGACGCGCGCAAGCACGAGGTCCGGGTCAAGACGACCCCGTGCCCCGCGGCGCCTCCGCTGGTGCTAACGACGTTGCTGCCGGCATGGCTCACGTCAAGCTGACCGATGCCGAGCGCGCCAACATCGAGGAGCAGATCAAGACCGCCGATACCCTCGACGATATCACCCGTCTCGAGAAGCTGCTGAACGAAGGCAAGATCCTCCCCTCCGGGGCCCAAGCCTAGATTGTTGAAAACGCCTCCCGGCGCAAGCCATGGGAGTGTTTCCTAGTTGGTCAGCGCTGCCGCCGCCGCCGCGCACGATCGTCCTCTAGATCTTGCACGCGGACAAAACCTGGCCGGCAGAAGGGCTCCAGGCCCCAACAATTTCAAAGCCAACAGTTCACCAGCAACGGGACAACACGCCACCTGCCAGCCCAAGTCCAGATTGTTGAAAACTCTCCTTGGCGGAAGCCATGGGAGTGCTTCCTGGTTGGCCAGGACGGCCACCAGAAGGGCTTCAGGCCGCAACAATTTCAAAACCAACAGTTCACCAGCAACAGGTCCGTGGGGTGGATATTTTGGTCTGGGCGGGGGGGCATGTGGGCCCAACGCTCGCAAAGCCCAGCTTGAAGAGCCTCGGGCCCGCCGACGAGCTGCGGCTCTCGCAGAAGGCGCTGCCCTGCGACAAAGAGCTTCGAGACCACCATGAGAGGGAGAGAAGGTCAACCGTAAGTTTGACCAGTCTGGCGCCGAAAGGCGCAAGGACGATTGGGGTTTTACAAATGGCTGACGAATGAGAAAAAAAACTGCGAGAAACATGGAGGAGATGCATACTGCTCCACTACCTGTGCTGAAGTATACGATGCAGAGTTAGAAAATGTCAAAACTTCATGTTTTTAGAATAAAAAAAATTTGTTTGATCTTTGAACTTCTCCAAGACGCGTACCACCATCGATCAGTAAACAGGACGGTCTTTTCCAGCTCCGCCTTGCGCCACGTGAAACGGGGTAGTAAATGCTACAAGACATCCAACGAGTGTACATACAATATCCTGACCTAAGCCAAAGACCCTTCGTCACGTCACGTCTCGTCCCTTACTCTTTCCTCTTCTCCTATACACATTCTAGCTGTATCAACATCCGTAGATGCCCAGCGATCACGTTCTCCAAACACTTGTCTTTTCCTAATGCTTCAAGCTTCCAGCCGCCTTGTAGATCAAGCCCTTGATGATGCCCGCCCACTTCTCCGCGGCAGCCTTATCACCAAACTCAATCGCCTCGACGAGGCCGGGGAAAGTCGCGCCAGCGTAGCCAGTCCACAGACCGGGCGCGAAGACGACGTGCTTGAACCACGGACGACCGTCGAGGCCGCCGGCGAACAGGAACTGGCGCTCGAGGAACTTGAACTTGAGGTTGACGTCGCGCACCTTGTGGTAGAGCTCCATCTTCTTCCACCAGCGCCACCAGGGGATGGGGTGGCGGGCGATCTCGTGGCGGAGCTCGTTGGCCTTCTTGTCGACGCGGCCGGCCTCGTAGTGCAGGCGGTCGATGGCCTTTTGGATCTGCGCGAACAGAGTGTCAATGTCCCACTCGTCGACGCCCTTGGAGTCGGCCGAAGCGGCGACCTCGGCGGCTTTGTCCTTGACCGACTTGAGGTAGCGCTCCAGGCCGACGGCGTAGTTGGTCGCGTTGAAGTCGATGATGGGCGACTCGATCAGCTTGGCCGCCAGCACGGCGAAGATCTTGGCGATGGTCTCGTGGTATGCGAAGCCCGGGTCGCCGAACTTGTCCATCCACGCGAACGAGTCGTAGTTGCTGTGGTAGTGGTAGACGGGGCTCTTGGAGTCGGGCTTGAAGCCCAGGTCGACCGACGGGATGCCGGCGAAGTCCTGGAAGGCGGTGAAGTCGGAGCCGCTGCCCATGGTGTTGATGTGCTGGTTCCAGACATCACCAACGGTTTGGTTCGCGATGGTCTGGTTGGGGCTCTGGACCTTGAGCGTCGCCTCGATGAGGGCGCCGTCGAGCAGAGGCGCGGCCGAGGCGCCGAAGTGCGGGCCAGTGGCGCCGACATCGACGTTGATGTAGGCGACAGCGGATGCGGACAGCCATGGAAGGTACTCCTCAACCCACTCAGTGGATCCAATGAGGCCGTATTCTTCGCCATCCCAGCTAGCAAAGACGACAGTGCGGAGCGGCTTCCATCCCTTGGACAGAGCGATACCAAAAGCGCGGATCAGCTCGTTGAAGGCAGCAGAACCGGAGTTAGGATCGCCAGCACCGCCTGCAATCCAAGCATCTCTGTGGTTGCCGAGAACAATGACCTCGTCGGGAATGGTGCCGTTGATGATGCCGATCACATCCCACTGAGGAGTCGTGACGTATTCCTGCTCGTTCACCAGGTTGATGACCAGGTCGTCAGGGGAGGGGCCGATGTTGTACTCGACACCCTTGTGGCCAAGACCGCCGCCCTTCCAGTACTTGTTGAAGTCATCGGCCTTGGGGCCGTGGCCATTCAAGGCTTTGAGGAGCGGCAGAGCATCCGTGTAAGAAATGGGAATGGAAGGGATCGAAGGAATCTTGCCCTTGACGTCGCCACGGGGAACACCAGGCTTAGACGGGTAACCGGGGGTGGTGGGGTCACCAGGGGCGAAACCTGCAGTCAGTTAGTGAAGGCTATGGAATGAGGTGGCATCGTAGGACACTTACTCAAGAATTGAGTGCTGCCGCGCTGAACGCTGCTGGGGTTCCTGGCGGGACCCTCGGGGTAGGCCTTGTAGCCGTTCAACTCGGTGACCTCTCCATCGTCACCAGGGTCAGAGTAGATGACGGTGCCAACCATACCCAGATCCTCAGCGCGCTTGACCTTGAGGCCGCGGAAAATGCCGCCGTACTTGACGAGCGCAATCTTGCCCGCCAGACTGACATTGGCCTTGATCAGGTCCTCGTAATCCTGGTAGGTTCCGTAGTTGACATAGACGTAGGGGGCAGTCACGTTTCCGGACGCACTGTAACCGTGGAAGGTGGGGATACGGTCCTCGAGGCCGCTGGTGGGGTCTTCCTCCAGGACGTCCTCCTCCAGGCTTGCCTCGTACGCCACCTTCCAGGCATCGACATTCTCGGTGTCCCTCTTGGCCTCCTTGTCCTTCTGAAGAAGGGCCAGGCGGTGGCCAAGCGGGTAGTTCAGGTAGGTATCGTAGGCTACGATGTCGACCTTGGGGATGCCAAACTCTGACCACTTATCCTTGGTCCAGATGGCCTGGCTGATGTTCTTGCCAGCCAGATGGGGGCCAGAAGTGTAGTACTTGCTGTACTCGCGAGCCTTCTCAGCACTGGGCTCGGTCAGGAGAATCTTCTCCAGCTCCTCGAATTTCAAGCCATCGCTCAGAGGCCATGCCCTGCTCAGACTATGCCCCCCACTTCTGACGTAGGCAAACTCGTCGTTGGCGACTGCCTTGTCGCCTGGGTAGTATGGAGGGAGGATGAAGATGGAGGCGAGCACGGCGCCGAGAACGATGGCGGGAACGATGGCGAGAATGTATGTACAGACGCGGCGGACGGTGTGGTTGGGGTATCGTGGTGGGCGCTCTCCGACGGGCACGACGGCGATGAGCGGGGTGCGTTCGTCAGCCATTGCGGCTTGCTTCTCGTCGAGGATCGTGACCATTGCAGGCGGGCGGCTAGCGGGAAAATGCTTAACTCAGCTGCCCCATGTGCGATGGAGGAGCAGCGAGAGACGCGGGACGGCGAGAAACGGGGTGTTGATGTACCAGCATGAGCTGTCGAGCTTGGACCCGCTTCTGACGAGCTCCAGCGACTGCTCCGTCATCAACGCGGAGAAATGCGATCGGCTGTCCGCGCGCCTTGGCCGAGCCGCCACCGAAAGGAACGTGATCCCCGCGCCATTCAGCCACCATCCCTCTTTCTCAACCTGCGTTGCGAGCATTATTGCAAGCTATTCACAGCCGCTTGCTTCTCTATGCGATGGCGCATCACATCGACGCAGGTCATTCTGCAGTCACGCCTCGGACGCTCACAAAAAGCTCGGATCCCTCCAAATGACGCCGAAAATGCGTCTAGCACGCCAGTTTCACCACCCCATGCGTTACTATAACCGGCTAGTCTGGTCTCCGCGACCTGTGCACCCTTCTGTCCGGCACAGCTCGTGCATTCCTTCGCGGTGGCACGCTTCAACGCCTCGTGTCAACCTGCCCTTTGCTGTTCCGCATGCAGCCGGATGTCCTGGCTCGACAAGACGAGGGAGCGACATGAAGAACTTCATCGGCTTTGCGGTCCTCGTAAGTGGGGACGAGTCTCGGCTGATAACTGCAGATCCGTGTGCAAGTTTAGGTAGGTCAAAACATGGTGCCGACCCGGTTCGCTTTTGGATGCAATTGGCAAGGTAGTCGTACGTTCGGCACGGAGGAAATTGCCGTCTTCAGCCCCAGTTACCTGTCTGGGCCTGTGAGAGCAAATAACTCTCATTTACAAGGGGTTTCCTGTCCGTCTGTGTAACGAAGCTTTGATCGCAGTAAGTGGTTGTTCTCAAACGAGCTTATAATTAAATACTTCACGTCTCATGTCTTGGACCTTGTTTTTTTCCTTGTGATTTTTGTTGCCGATCCGCCAATTGCCTTCCGACCCGTGATAGGAGAGCTCTGAAATACTCGCCGGCTGGAAAATTACAAATTGCAACCTAGGGGGCTCATGTTCGGAGAAGGGACTGCGTCGAGTGTGGGGTAACATGGACCGTTAGATTCATGAAGGACAGAAGGCGAAAGACCTGGCCGCTATCAGGATCGGGAACGTGTTAGAGACTCAAGAAACCTCCCCAACCGTTGAAGATATCGCGACCGCTCCTACAACAAAGACCAGGATCGAGGAAGGAATTGGTCCCAAAGATCTTGATAGTATCGAACGTCCGTGTGGCAGCGGAAGCCTCTTCGGCTCCAGAAGCCCAGGTCCAGGCCCAGATCAGCAGAAATCACCTTTTTCGGTGAACTGACCCGGGGTATCATCTTCACAACAGAAAAAGGCTTGCTCTGATGGTACCTACTGCCCTTTCTGTAGCAAGAGGTCTTCATTGCTGCAGATAGGCGGCTCGAGCTTATTGGAGGACCTATCTCAAAAAGAGAGAGGTGAAAATTTTCTGATCTTCACCTAGACCCGAGTCCGACTAGAGAACTAGATTGAGGCCGAGGAAGCTCTCTTGCTCGTTCTGCCCCTGTGTCCGACGGCGCTGCTCACCACCCAAGTCGTGCCAGCTGGCACTGTCGCATCCATGCCCACTAGGTCAATCCACCAGAGTGTCCGTCGCAAGTCACAGTATCCACCGTCCGAGTCGTCTCTAGCTGGTGAACTTCGCGTCGTTGGGAGAGGCTGGTGTTGGCTGACGCTTTGCCTCACTGTCCGGTCTGTGGGCTGTAAAGATGGAAGTCACGCGAGAATGTCATCGTGCCGGGTGACATGGTGGGAGGAGCGTCTTGCTGTTGGTCTTCGGATGCCTTTTCTCGGTGAGCTGCCGCATTCCTGACTCGGGTGGTAGGTCTTCTCGTACCGGTGATGCTGCGCTGCGGACATGACGGCGCCGACTGGGTCGATGCGGAGCATTGTTATTGTGCATAGCAAGGCTGCTGTTCGCACCAGCTCGCGCCGACGCTGACTTCGTCGCAGCCAGATCTCGACCGCGCGGCGGCTGCGGTTAGTCGTCGCAGCGCCGTGTCGCGAGTGAACGAGCTCCGCGGCCGCGTCGCGGACAGTGAAAGGAGCGTGGATCGCAACACCATGCTGCGCATCCCGACCCTTTTTGCGGAGACGAATGAATGGCATGGCTGTCGGGGCGCAAGTGCAGACTACGACGCTGGAGGCTCTGAAAGCGCGCCGCTACGCGATGGGATCTAAGCAGACACCTCGACACAACGACAGCTTGCGGGCATGCGCCGCGGTAGCGCTTCCTCAGGTCTACGACGACGAGCGCGAGACACCAGATGGCAGCTTAGCCAGGCGCTCCATCGTGCCGAGCGCCGCGAGTTAAGTATCGCAGTCGAGCAAGACGTCGAGCACTACACCATGGAGCGCGCGTCGTGGAAGTCCGAGCAGCTGCACAACACACTCCGCCACCCAAACGCAGGAGAACCATTGCAAGCGCTTCGTAGGCGCATTATGGCCTGCGGAGACTCGGCACCCTGCTGTTCACTATGTGCTCCCGCCGTCCAAGATCTCCTTGTTCAAGTCGAATCCTCTTCCTCAAGTGCCGGTGCTTGACCAGCCAATTGACGAAAAAGATGCGAAGAGAGGTCGCGTCAGCCCGAGATAGTGCAATACGAGCGACACGGGGTGAAGAGTATTGGCAGTGCCCAGTGACCCTTCTCCCAGAACAAAAAAGTGGTTGGCACCAACACCAGGATGCTCCCCGTAAGGAGTTAGCAAAGAATTACCAATGCTAGGAGATTCGGATACCTTTGGTTAAAGCCAAAGGCCAGCGAGAAGCCCCTTGAGGAAAAAGAAGAAAAGACGAGGAGGGGGCCGAAGAAAAGAGAGGTATTTGTAGGCGAGGGCAGTGAACCTGGCCGCCATCAGGTGCCGGGTCGTTGGCGGGGCAATGCACCCCCCAGGAGGAGTATCATCTGCACGCCTGAAGGAATAGGCAGCTGCGTGGTCAAAGGCCAGCATGCAACGAATTGGGTGCACGATTCGGCCCTGGTGAATGGACGCTCCAGGAACGGAAGCGACGAAGTGATTGGCACCTGCAAAACTGAGTGTCTGCGCCCCTCAAGTAAGCTCCAAACGGCAGCCTGCGCGAATTAAGCATTCATGACCGCAAGACTCTGTCATGTCATCTGCCGGCGGGGTTCACGGGATGCTGGCATGGCCCGAAACAGCAACCACAGTCTCGACGAAGTCAGAAGAAGCACTCCTGGTAGCATTCGGCCGGGCCGCATCTGACAAGCATGAACAGCGGGAGCTAGGACGCCACGGACAAAGCTTGGCTGCTTCGGATGTTGAGCCGTTCAGCCTTACAGGGATTTGACGTCATATCACTTCCGCTTCTGCCTCCCGAGCGATGATGCAGCAGCGGGTCCCGCAGCGGCTATTTAGCAAACCCCTCCGCCTTCCCCGCCTCTGCGGTGATCCGACGAAACTCACTGCTACACAACACTGAATCCGAGTGCTTTTGCTTCAATTGACAGCCACAGACCGAAACGACTCAATATGGCGCCATCATTTGACATTAAGAAGGTAGATGGCCCCACTGTTTCTCGTACGACGCGAGCAGTGACAAGCTAATCAAGCTTTCTTAGCTCGCAATGATCGGCTGCGGCAACATGGGCGGCGGCATGGCCCTCCTCTTCGCCGAGCACGGCGTCAAAGTCTCGCTGCAGGACCCTTCCGAGGAAGCAATGGACAAGGTTATCCAAAAGGCAAAGGACTGCCCGCATATCCCGGCCGGCAGTGTCAGCAAGTTTTTTGACTACGAGTCTCTCTGTGCCTCTCTGAACAGCCCCAGGGTCTTCGTCTTCTCGCTGCCGCACGGCTCCGTCGGCGACACGGTGCTCGGTGGCTTGATGCCGTACCTAGACAAGGGCGACATCATCATTGACGCGGGCAACGAGCATTGGCAAAACACCGAGAGAAGGCAGGGCAAATGCTCCACGAGAGGCGTGAGGTACATCGGCATGGGCGTGTCCGGAGGATACCAAGCCGCAAGACAAGGACCGAGCATGTGTCCGGGTGGGGATGATGAATCGCTGAATCTGGTTCTGCCTTTGTTGAAGAAGGTTGCTGCGAAGGACAACAACGGCACTCCTTGCGTGGGCCAGGCTGGAACTGGAGGCTCCGGCCATTATGTCAAGATGATCCACAACGGCATTGAACATGGGATGATCAGCGCCGTTTCAGAAGCGTACGACATCATGAGGAAAGGTCTGGGTATGAGCAATGAGGAGGTAGGGAGCGTGTTTGAGCAATGGAACAGCAAAGGAGAGCTGGTAAGCCTATGATCCTACACATCCTCATGGCAGCACTAACATAAGGTAGCAAGGAACGTTCTTGATCTGGATCAGTGCAGACATTTGTCGCATAAAGGACAAGTCTCGCAACGATGAGTATGTCGTCGATACAGTAGAAGACAAAGTCGTCCAAGACATCACCGGCGAAGAAGGCACCGGCATCTGGAGCAACGAGGAGGCCGTCGCCCAGCATATCCCTGCTCCGACCTTGACCACAGCTCACTACCTGCGTCTTGCATCTGCCTACCGCTACCAGCGCGTGAGGACTCAGCAGACCATCGGCGGTGAGTTCCCGCCGCAGCCCCTTGACCTTGCTGGGCAATCCAAGCAAGACTTTCTTGAAGCGCTGCGACGAGCCACGTACGCGGCCTTTCTGGCCAGCTACATTCAAGGCATCAACGTCATCGAGAGCGCGAACAAGGCCAACCACTGGAACATCGACTACGGCGCCGTCCTTCAAATCTGGAGGAGCGGCTGCATCATCCAAGCCGACCACATCGCCTCCCTGCTCCACCCCATCTTCACCAATTACCGCGCGCTCGACACCATCAACCTCCTCTTCCAGCCAACCGTCATGACAGAGCTGAAGGCTTGCGTCGCGGCGCTGCGGGAAGTTGTTGTGAAAGCTACAATCGCAGACCACATCATCCCGGCGCTCAGCGCGAGCCTGGAGTACGTCAAGTACCAGACGAGCACTTCACTTCCCATGAGTTTCGCCGAAGCGCAGCTGGACTACTTCGGCGCACACATGTACGATCGGAAGGGCGAGGAGGGCACGGGTGCACCGACTGAAGGCAAATATCATTTTGAGTGGAAGCCGGCCAAGAGCTCTATTGCGTGAGCTGTTGGATCTTTCATTGACTTCTGGCACTTAACAGATATCCCTAGATTTGCATGACGACGTGATGAACACATGCGTTAGAGAATGCGATTCTACTCCAGCAATCCCGAAAAACAATTCCTTATGTTCGTCCACAAGTAGCGTGTTTCTCGAAGAGTCTTTCAAGAGTCAAGACGGGCGAATGATGCAGCTGTTAGACTCTATCTATAGAAGGCAAATTGAACGACTGGACGTCAAATGACATTGAATGCACGAGACAAACTTGGTTCGGGTCAGACCCTTAGGACCCTTACCCCACCCTTACCAAAGAAAGCTTACACAAAGGTACCATGACTGTTAACCAGTCAGAACTGTTACTTGCTTCACATAGTCACTGCTACAGGGTCCTAGCTGGGTGAAAGTCTGACTTTCGAGTTTCGACCTCATGCCATCGCCGCCTATATCAAAGGCTCTCTCTCTCCTCCCATAATCGCAGCTAATAGCCTCGAATACTCAATCTCAGACAACTACGATCATATCGGTTCCACCATCCACCACCGCAGTCATGCCGTACGACTTCAACAAGCGCGACTCCTCCTGCTGCTCCTCCACCACGGCCAACTTCCCCAAGGCCCGGGGCGGCACCGCAACAACGCACACGACCACGAGCGCAGACAGCACAACAAAGACGACGACAACGTGGATGACGCCGGACGGCACGGCGATGCGAGTCGTCGCCAAGAAGACGCCTGGCGGATCGAAAACGACGACCACCTTCGTCATGACCCCGGACGGAAATACGACGAGAGAGATCACGCGGTCGAGTGGAGACACGGTAGTACCAGCAAAGCCGGCGGCGCGCCATGCCGCCAAATTCCAGGACGACGTCGACGACGACCACGATAACGGCAAGAAGGCCACCAAGAAAAAGCAGGCGCCTGAAATGGTTGACGAGCCGGTGACGACCGATCAGCGCAGCAAGCGGCTTGCGGACTTCGAGGAGCGGAGGTTGAAGGAAAAGCAGCAGAAACAGAAGCGACGGCTTGCAAAGCCCAAGGAACAGGAGAAACAGAAGCAGACGATGGCACACACGAAGCAAATCGTGCATGACGATTGGCGCGGATGGAGGGAATAAGGAGAGGGGGGGGCGAGCGATTCGATGAGCGAAGACAAGACAAAGCGTGTGTGTAACTGGCAAGGGTGGTGGGAGCAGAGATGGGGGGAGGGACTTTTAGCCAGCAGAACTTTTTTATGCTAGTCATTTCGGGTATCAACTGAAATACGACTACGCTTTTCCCTCCTGTCAATAATCTCAGGCGCCCAAGTTAGTGAAATAAGCAGTGGTGATGTGCAGACCTGGTGTACGGAAGTTCCAAACCCCAACATGAACTCCTATTCTCCGTTCGCGCCTCGTGACCAATCAACCAATCACTCCTCAAACTCAATCTCATCCTCCTCCTCATCAATCTCCTCGCTCTGCTCATCGCCACTGCCATTGCTACTACTCTCGCTGTCGCTATCGCTCTCCTCGACGATCCTGCTCGCCCGCGCCCACTCCTCGCTCTCAGATAGCGCCCTGCTGCCCATCAAGCTCTGCTCCGTCTCGACATCAGCCGACAGCGTGCCGCCGCCGAGCTCGCGCTCTTTCTCGTCGAGCGTCGGCACGGGGCTGACCTGCCTCAAGCTCCTCTTCTCGTCGTCAGCCGCGAAGCCGACACTCTTGCCTCCATTCCCGGAGCCCGAAGACGTCGGACGAGCGCCGCCGTGGCCGTGGCCGTGGTGGGATTGCTTGACGATGACGTCGCCGTCCCAGGGGCGGCAGGAGGTGACGATGTCGCCGCAGCGCAGGCAGGTCCAGCCCTCGCCCTCCTCGGCCTCGATCTTCTGGGCCAGGCACACGAAGCAGTAGACGCAACCGCACGGAATAGCTTGATAAGGGTTGGTGATGTCCGTCGCGGCGCTGCCGACGACGCCGCTGCCACCCGCTGCGGACTGCGACAGCATCTGCTGCTCCGACGCGCCGCCCGCCGGGTTCTGGTCGCTGTAGCAGATGGCGCACGTGCGCTCAGGCAAGAAGCCCAGCTCGCCCGCCTTGCCGCCAGCCAGCGCGTCATCCTCATCATCCGAAGAGGCACGGCGGCCCAGGGCTGTGGCGACGAAGTTGCGCACGCGTCGCCAGGCGCGGCCGAGGATGCGGCGCCAGCGGGCGACGCCGACGAGCGGCAGCAGGAAGAGCAGGAACTCTGTGAAAGCGTGCCAGACGAGCTGGCGGTTGAGGTACTCGAACGAGACCTCGCGCGAGATGGCCGCCGCCGTCGGCGTCAGCCGCAGGCCCAGCACGCGGTCCACCAGCGTGCGGTACCGGCCGTTGGTCAGAAACACCAGGAACGACGCGAAGGCTGCGACGGCGTGCGTCGCGCTCAGCGCGTTCGTTGCCCGCTCGGCCAGCCGCACGCGGGGCGACGGCAGCTCGTAGTCGCTGGTCCGCCCGATCAGCCAGTCTTCCCATTTCGTCCACGCGTAGCGCCCGCCGATGGTGAGCAGGCCGTAGACGCTCTTTTGCCAGCGCTTGGGTGGGGGCCGCGAAGGGTCGGCGGTGCGGGCGTCGGTGTAGCGCAGGCCTTGGAGGGCGGCGCCGTACGAGGCGTTGTGGTCCCAGATGGATAGCTTGAAGAGGATGGCGCGGAGGGCGAGGAGGATTTCGGGCTTGTACTCGTCCGCGAGGTGCGACTGCGATAAGGCTACATGTCAGCAACAGTGCTCCAGGTTCCAATTCCTGAGGGTTCAACGCTCAGAATAGCTTGTATGTGACACTGCTCACCCCGAAGTATTTCAGTCCCTCGCCCACTTGGCCTTTGAGTAGCTCTAGGAGCTCCTCGTCGAGCAATTCTGCATCGACTTGGCCAACGCGAAAGGCAGGCTGGGTGCCCTCGCGACCTTTAACAGCGTCCCATAGGGTCAATCCGGTTCCACCAAGTCGGTTTAGGGGGTATGGTAGCTTGGCGATGCGTTGCTGGTGTTGTTGGTCGCGCTGGGCGGCGATGCGCGCCTGGTACTCTCGTTCGCGTTGCTGACGGCGGGCTTGCAGGCGCTGCTGCGCCGCTGCGAAATCGGCGGACGACATCTCACGGCGGATGGTGATGCGGATATCGCATTGGTCTGGGTGCGGCCAATTTTTTTATGTGGCTGCGCGCATCAAGGATGCTTGGAAGGAGCGATGGCATGATACGATAACGGCGGGGAACGCGTTGGTGGTTTGGCCGCGGGTACGGAATCAAAGGACCGAGGTTCTCGACATGTGAGGCCAAGCCAAGCCTGTCTCTCCTCCGCTCACTTCCGCTCCACATTCATCGTCGTCTACTCACAGGCGTACACTCCAGACAGCTCTCGAGCAGCATCCTCAGCTGAGGTCTGATGATGGTGGATGGCAAGTCAGCCGGCCTCTAAAAGCGCCACCACCCTCATGACTCGCAATTTGGTTCCCGTCGGTGTCTCCCGGAGGACTTTCACTTGGCAACAGTTCAACGCCAAACCATTGAGCAAAAACACCAATGCGCAGTTCTAAGCAGCCGATCCATTCAAACATACAGTTGTTGCATCCAATTGTCGAAGACGGCTCTCTTCTGCCGGCACAGAATCTCAGTCGTTGGCAGGCATTCCTTGATAAAGGAGAGCAGCAAGGCTCTAAAAAGATGAATCACTTGCAGTCCCAAATCACGCACTAACCTCGCGACTTCCTAGATGATTATCCAGGTACTCTCACTGCATAACTGTCTTTGCATTTCTCACATCGCTGTTCTCTTGTCTTCATTCAGGATGTGTCCTCGTTCAACCCTTATTTGAATTCAAGCATGCTTTTGTATAGTCTTGCCAGAAACTACTCTCCCCAGTCTTCTATCAGCACACCGGCTCCGCAATCCTACAGCTGATCTCCGCAATCGACGCAAGGTCCTCCACCGGCGTCCTCCCCAACCCGCACTCCGTAGCCACACCAAACCCACAACTGCCCAGCACTGTTTGCGCCGTCTTCACCCTCTTCTCCGTGCCCGCCTTGTCATGCGCATGAACCAATCCAAGATACAGCTCCGTCTTCCCCAGCTCCAAACTCCTCAACGGCGCAAAATACTCCTCATCATCCCGGTCCTTCGGCACAGGCATATGCACCCAATCAATATCCCTCGTAGCCCTCCTCTTAATCTCCCGCACCACCCTCGCCATCAACCCCATATCCTTCGGCTCCACAAAATGCTTATGCCCCATATCCCCATAACAAACATGAATCCCCACCTCCACGCCCTCGCCCACCTTCCCCACCATCCGCGCAACCCTGTCCACCAACCCCTCAAACATCTCCTCATCCCCACTCCCAAACCACGGCTCAAAATGCGGCTCAAACACGCGCTCCAGCGCCATCGGCTCGGCCGCAACATCCCACTGCACCGCCAACTCCTCCCTCGGCACGACCTCCATGATCCGCCTCAGACACCCATCCACCAGCGCCTCCTCATACAGCGGCTCAACCAGCTCCTGGAACTCGGGCCGCACAAGACACAACACCGCAAACGGCGTCGGCAGGCACACCAAAAACCTCGCATCCCGCGGCACTTCTCCCCTCTCCTTCTTCCCCTTGAACACCTCCCACGACTCCAGCGCCGCGTCATCGTACCCCGGCCGCAGCGGCTTCGGCATCGCCGCGACGACGGCGGCGGCTTCGGCGGGCGAGATGGGCGGCTGTGGGAGGGCGTTGAAATGCTCGTCGTAGGCGCGCAGCAGAGCCGGCGTGTGCGCGAAGGTGCCGGCTTGCCACCCGATGAAGGTGCCGCGGTGCGCGGGCTCGCCGTCGGGCAGGCGGCGAAGGCGTCCGGGAAAGGAGGAGAGGGCGCTGTCGAAGGCGGCGGCGGCGGTGGGGGCGCCGCACATGCTGCCGACGAGGTGGACGCCTTGGGGTTTGGGGAGGGTGGTGGTGTTGGTGTTGTTGGACGTCATGGCGGCGGCGGCGGCGGCGGCGGCGGCGGCGGCGGCGAATGGGGAGAAAGAGAGGGACTTGGAGGATGAGGAGGGTTGTTTTTGGCTTTGGGTGAAGAGCTTGGGGGCATGTTGGAAGGGAGGTTGACGTTGCTCTTATACAACTTCGAAGAGGGTCTGTCTGTTAAACCTGTGTGATGTTGGTCACATTTCAGGCCCTATGCCGAATACATTCGGAGGTTTTCCGTACGCGAACGTCCGCAACCTCCGACGCCGTGCGTTTTGGGAGATCATTTCATGGGCTTTGCGGGGAGAATGCTGATCTTTTGTCTAATTGTGCAGCTGGGCACCCTCGGACTTAAGCTGCCCGCCTCGGTTTCCGGGGGAGGACGCTGTAAATCCGCGAGTAATTCAACACGAAATAGGAGGCTTGCCTCCTACTTTTAACTTTTTGAGTTTCTCTAATACCTACTTTCAACAATCTTTAAACTACTATTGGCCAACGTCTTTAAACAGCCCAACATTTTCTCCATTTATCGCCAGCCACATTATCTGAGAACAGTACTACACATAGCGGGAAAAGATGGTGACTCCAGGAAATACAGCGACAGTCTTGACTTTAGGAAGTCTTGAGGTTGTCGTTGCATCTTTCTAACTCGGACTGTTTAAACACTGTACAACGAGATGGCTTACTCATGCCCTTCCGGCTGAATAGCGCAACAAGCTGGAGAACTATCCAACTAAATACGTTCAGTCTTTAAGGTTTCTCTTATCTTCATACAGCTTTACATTGCAGGCACGCATTTCTGTCCAAGGCTGCGTGGATTTGTTTTTCTTTCATGTCATGGGCAGTTGAATCAATCGTCTAGATGTGACTGTGGAATCAACAATTATACATTCACATCCGGAAGATACGTTCTACTGCCCACATATAACATTTTTCCAAAGAATATTTTTACATATAGTTATCTCTCAGCTTTCTTCTGCAACTGAAAATACCTTTCTGTGCGTTTCGCACATTGGGCTTCTGATCACGATTCTTTCATCCGGCGACCTTTCGCATCTCTACTGTCTGATACAACGCATGACTGAACTTTTGCTATCATCTCGGGATCGAAGACCATATGTCCTCTGGAGCAAGATCCAGTGCTATGACGGAATCCCTCTGAGGTGCCTTTTCCTTGTTGGATCTTGGCTCGACGGAACGGAAGTTCTCTCTGCACCAGACTTCGTGCTGTCTCAGTCAAGGCCCTTGTGTTCCGCGTATCTCATAGTCTCAACAATTACCGGTGGTGGCTTTGTATACAGCTCCGCTGTCGCTTGGGCAAGAAACAAGGCACTGCGATCTAGGATAGCGACTATCTTCTGGCTTTTTGGCTGTTCTTCCCGGAAGTCGTGTAGGTTCAATGTAGGCAGTCCGTGCAAATTCTTTTTTCCAGCCCTGTCAAGAATTGGGGGCGATGGAACTCAAGTCTACTTACACTCTTCAACCTTATCTCACTACTAATTTTCTTCATAACAGAGTAACGGGACGGCCCCGCTGACTCGACCTCAAGTCTCTCGACTGCTGATACCTAAGACCTTGTAGACGGATTCTCCCACGTCTGTCCTCCCCAACACAATACGCATTTGTAGCCTTTCTCTTTCGTCTGTTTCCTACGCTATCCATCAGTCTTCTCCGTGAAGAAGCCACAAGAAACGAGAAAGACAAAAAAGAAATTGGCTGTTTCTGACGTCTCCTTCTATTATTCGGCAACTGATAGTCTCAAACTAGCGACTAGCGTCTTTCGTGTAAAATATGGCACGTCATCTCAAGAACGAAACCAAATTATATTGCGGTATAGAACCAATTTACGGGAATATTGTTGGGCTATAAAGATCTTCGACAATTTGAGGGACGCCTGATTGCGCTGACCCATCATTAAGCTAGTGGTTACTCATCGCGTTCAAATAGTGGTTGCGCTACTGGTAGCCGCGCTGCTATTGATTGCGGCTTGCACTACGACTATTGCTATCAGCAGTAGTGGTGGTAACCACGCTACTGTGATTACGCTGGCGGACTCACCAATAGTTACGAGTTTTCTAGGGCGCCTGTTAGCAATGGTCTAAGACGATTGTGGAACAAGTGCAACCGACCCTATCTGCCGCTTAGTCCACATTAAAGACCAATTTCAAAAGTCACTCTTACCAACAATCAGACGGTAATAAGGCACACGAAACAATAATACCCATATCGATCTTTGCAGTATCCGTAAGACTCTACACAGCAAAATAAGACAAACGCACGTGCGTGTACACAAAAAGGCACAGACTGGTATCGCACATCGTGGCAATCAAGAAACAACGAAGTAAAAGGCCAAAGGAACAACAAGAATAGACCATAATAAGCATAGTCGAGCCAAATAGCCAAGTACGAGTAGTAGAGCAATAGGGCAAGGAGAAAATGGAAAATGTCGAGGTGCAGAGTTTCAACCTCATTAAGCACACCAACGACCTCCCCCAAAGAAGAACTATGTCCCTTCAGCGAAATATAGAGAGGGAGGGACGTAGAAAGGGTGCAAAGAATAGAAGCAGAACAAGAGGAAAGCAGACCCTATTACCAGCCCATACTACAGAGTACACCGCAACCCCAGCACTCCCGGCCGACCCTGTCGTTCGTGTCCGTCACTTAGGTAGCGGCGCCGCCGCCCTATAGCAGCTATCCGCTCTTCATCATACCCGCCTATTTACTCCCAGTCCCGTTTTTGCAGTCCATGAAGCACCTTTTTTAGTCCTGACTCGAATCAATCTACTACCGTTCGTCCATTCAGTGTCCGCTAGGCGTCACGCTCCTGTCTCTCCTGGAGCCGAACATTCCCCTTGTCCTGATGCTCTTCGGGCTATTGCTAGCCGCGTTGCTCTGCTGGTCATTACTAGTGAAGCTTGTGCGGAGCAAGACTGAGCCCGCGCCTGCCTTGACGAGCTTTTCCGCGCCGCCGCTTCCCTGGTCGTCCAGGAAGAAGACATGGTCGCCAAGGTCATCGTCGGAACCCCACATGTTGTGGTCCTTCACGGTGATCTTGAATTGAGTGTCTGCCGTGCACTGCGTCTTGACAGTCTCGCGGTTAGGGTCAAAGTCGATAGTGCCAGAGGCAGACTTGATGTCCTTGGTCTTGTGAATCTCCTTCAGCTGACTCCTGTTGTTAAGCATAGCCACATGAACACGGACATTGGCGGATGGCGGGTAGCCCATGGCGGTCAGAACGGAAATTGATGCAACACCAGATTCCGCACCACCAGGAGATGGACCAAAGCCGGAAGCAATAGATGCAGCGCCCATGGACTTGTGACGCGAGTGCGGTGTAGTAGGAGGCTCTGCGGAATCAACGTTGATCTGCGGAGGCGGAGGCGATGCGCTACCAGCGGGGGCGGCCGCACCGTTACCGTTTGGCACAGGTGGTGGTGGCGATGATGATTCATCATCGCTGTCTGCGCTAGCTCCACGGCTCTTGCGGCGTTTGCTCAGGCCAAGAGCCTTGCCAACACCACCGCCGACGAACGTTGCGCCCTTGATGACGTTGCCTCCAACGAACATGGCTCCCTTGCCAACGCCCTTGACGGGGGCGCCAATGACCTTTCCGGGAGCGGCAAAGGTACCAGAGAACGTCGACGAACCTTGCCTCGAACGCATAACGAACTCTGGCTTGAACAACATCTTCAGTCTGATGGCGCCGCTCTTGCCGTCCAGGCCAAGCGTGACCTCTTGCTGCTTGAAAGGCTCAAGAACGTCCAGGTTGATAACAGCACCACCCAGGTAGTCAGCCTTGTCGCCAAAGTCCCAGTCGTACACGTCCACTCTGAAGTCTGCGGCAGTCCTGCTCCTAATCGGAACCTCGAAGAATTCGTTCCACGCGGGGTGCAGCGTCTTCTTCTGCTTATCGGTCTTGTAGACGTCCTTACCATTGAGCACAAACTTGCAGTACGGGTCAGAGTAGCCGTTGCGATCGGCAGCGGGAAGATCCGCGGCATCGAGAACGTCGACACGGAGGTTTCCACTGTTGTTGAACGACTCGGAGGGATCCAAGCGCATCTTAACAGGGAGGTACTTGAGGGATACGGTAACCCTGTTCTCCTTGCCATCCTTGTCGTGGAAGGTGAGAACGGTAGGGGTGTACTACTCAGGTTAGATTCAAACCTAATATCGCAGACACGTGGGAGTTATGCTTACCAGACAGCGACGAAGTGTATCAAGAGTAGATCCCTGCAGCTTTCCGATGATGTGATCGTCCTCGCCTTCGCCCTTCTTGTCGAGGTGCTCAACAAGACGTAGGGTAATGCGCGAGAAGTCGAGTTCGCGGACCATCGCATCGCCAACTAGAATGTCATTAGCGCCTGCTGAAGACTTCCATCAGAAAGCAACTCTTACCCTCGTTGAAAGTAGTGTGCTTCGACCTGATCTTCGAGCTGGAGTAGCTCGCGAAGATCTGGTCATCCATGAGAACCTCGAGGTAGCAGTCCGTTTCCGAGAATTCACCCTCAACGAGCTTGAAGATGAGCAGACCAGACTCTGTGGATATATGTAAGTTTGTTTCCCTTTGAATAAGTGCATGGACTGTAAAACTTACCGTACTCGCTCAGCTCCTCAGGCGTCAAGGTGATCTTAGGCACTTCCGGTTTCTTCTCAACGACATCCTCCTGCTCTTGCTCACCCTCGGCGAGCTTCTTAGCAAGGTCTGCAGAGCCATTAGTACTGACGCGATTGAGAGAAGAGATAGTACCACTCTTCTCGCTGCGCTCAGTAATGTTAGCGGAGCCGGTGCTGCTCTTCGGAGTGTGACCAGGAAGCTTCGCGGAGCCGGTACTGCTCTTCGGAGTGTGGCCAGGCCTCGAGTCAAGACTCGGGCGGGCGGTGTCCATGCTTCTGCGAGTATCCATGCTGCTGCGTTGGTCGTCGGAGTCCTCCTCGTCGGGATCGACAACGTTGAGTACAGGGTAGAACGAGGCCGTGTAGTTGAGAGTACCCTTAGGAGGAGCCGTAGGGCTCGTGCGCAGACCGTGGGACATAACAGTTTTGTCCTCGACGACCTCGTACTCGCCGTTCTCGTTCTGACGAAGGAAGTCCTCCACGGGAAGCTCGACATGACCCAGAGACCGATCCTTACCAACGTTTTCTTCGTCCATGACCTCGAGAATGAGCCTCTCGCGGGATGTGTGAACGGGAACGTAGATGACCTCGTCCCAGTCGGGGTTGAGGTTGTTCTTGAACGTGACCGTACGGCCCTTCTCGATACCGGAGAGTAAGACGCGAACATAAGGATCAGACTTGCCCATCGTCTCGACGTTGCGCAGATCACGAGCACCCTTGAAGTCAAGACGCATAACACCGACAGGCTTGATATAGCCACCAGATCCACCAAGAGCGCCCTTCAGAGCAACCGGCTTCCACTGGAGCGTCATCTTGGCGCGGCCTGTCTTGACACCAGCCAGGTTGAACCAATCCTTGCCCTTCTCCATCAAGTCGAGCATATCGGTAAGCTTGATCTGGTAGGTGCCAATGATGGGATCCGTTGCGAGGTCGCGGTCGTCCTTGATGACAAGACCAAGCTTAGCCTTCTTCCTATCGGTGATGAGCAGCTCCTTGGAAGCGTCGGGCCAGATAGGGTTGTTCGTGCGCTTGAGCTTCTTGGAAATGTGGACTTCCTTGCCATTCAGGAGGAGCACGGCGTAAGGGTTGAGTTGACCGATTAAGCTCTTGCTGCTGTCAAGCTCCTTCGCTTGTTCAACAGTGAACTTGGCAATACCAGTAGAAGACTCCGGAGGAGGCATTTCCGTGCCATCCTCGGACTTGAAGCCTTCGAGAACGGGGAAGAAACGGATGTCTGCCTGAATGATACCGCGCGGTCTGCCGTTGGACAGGACTTCAAGGCCTTGGTTCTCGTAGAAGTCGTTCTCCTCGAGCTGCTCAAGGGCAAAGGATGCAATACCCAGTTCCTTGTCCTTGCGGATGTCGTTGTAGTCGTAGACCGTCAGAGTGAGCGTATCCTTGAGTGTAGTAACGATGACATTGACAGTTTCGTTCCAGCGCGGGTTAGCGTTCTCAAACACAGTCTTGGTCTTTCCAAGCACCTCCCGGTTGTTGATCGAAACAGTCGCGTAGGGGTCGGGAGTGCCGGAGAACTTGTCAGGGTTCTTCAGGCCCTGAGCACCGTGGAAAGTAATCTGCAGCACACCAATAGCCTGATCGACGGGGTTGCCAGCCAGCATCTTCGCGATTTCAATCGGGAAGACATTCGGCGCGTACATCATGGGGCCGAGATTGGCGTGAATCTGCTCCTGAATGAACGTCTCAAGACCGGGGATGAAGTTGATATCGAAACCGAAAGTGTCACCGCCAAGAGGCTTGCAGACATAGTCGATAGTAGGGCGCTCAAGGAAGCAGAACTCGACCTTCTCGATGTGCGGGAAAGGAATCTGAAGTTTCACCTTCAGCCTCATGATACCGGAGAAGGCCATGTCCTCAACGATGACATCAAGACCCTTGCTGACCACGCCCTTTCCGACGCGGATCTCGAGAACAACCTTGGGGTTCTGCTTGTTCTTGATCTGACGAGCCGTGAGATCCGAGACATCGTTCGGGGTGAAGCTGAACTTCCAGTCCATCAAGACGATGTCGTCCTGGGCCTTGGGATAGGTCTTGACGTGCTCCATGCGCGGCGGCTTAGTGCCGAGGACGAAGAGCTTCATCCTCAGACTCTCCAAAAAGGTGGGGCATGAAGTGGAGAGCACCTGATCAACAGATGCAACGATCGTGCTGCAGAGAACAGGGGCATAGATGGGCCAGAACTTGACCAGGAAGCTGTTGATCCACTCAAGACTCTCAGTGTCCGTCTCCAAGCGGGCCTTGGCCATCTCGCGGTTGAGGTCATCCCGGAAGTTTCTCCGCACGCGGCGGATCGAAGTGCGGTAGTAGGTTGCACAGAAAGCCATGACGATGAACAGCCAGCCCATGCCACCGCCCAAGACGGCCACAACCCATGAAGAAAGGCATGAGAAGATGATTATACCGGCGTTCTGGTACCAGTCTAGGCAATTGAGTTGTCAGAACGGGAAATGCCAGGTTGCTAGGTGAACAGCGATGCTTACCTCCAAAGAATTTGTCGTCCAATGCGCCTTCAAGAAGCGTCTGGTGGTCTGCCAATGTGCGGTCGTCCTCGTCCTCGTCCAGTCCACCAGGCATGCCGAAGCGTGGGGCCCAGCCAACGCGATCCCACTTCGTCTCGTCATCCTCTGGGGCGGTCACGGCACTGGTATCCGACTTGGCGGTGGGAGAAACGGGCGGCGGCTCTACGGCACCGGCCTTGGAGGGCGGCGGTAGGTCATAGTCTGGGGGAGAACCGTCGTCCTGGACGCGGATTAGCGGAATGGTCGTCTTGTGGCGGGACAGCAACCCCATGGCGTAGAGGGCGGGGGTCTTACGGTATCGGACACGAGCGCTGTGGCCTTGGGTTTATGGTCGTGGTGAAACCCTGGCGGAAGATGCTGCCGAGTGAAATCGTCAGTGCTGCGGATCTACGGTGCCGGGCCACGCATGCCGTGCAGGCGCGCGGGTGGGTCGGCCAAAGGGGCACACAATTGGTAATTTGCGATAGGATTGTGGAGGGCGGAGCACTCACAGAGCGCGCTTGGGCAGCCTTTTCGGCGGGCGAGGCGTCGGGGTTAAAGGCCAGGGCGGCCCCGCCGGCCTTGCGGGCTTCGTCGAGCACTTTCTGCTCGGCATCCGCGGGCGCCACGTTGGTGTTGGGGTCCTGTGCGGCCTCGATGGCGCCCTGCTGCTTGAGCTCGGCTTCCTGCCGTGAGGCCATAGCTGGCTGTTCCCGCAGGTGGGGGTTGCGCAACGAGCGGAGGTCTATCCGGGGAGTGCGGCGCGGTGTTGAAGCTACTGTGGCCGTCAATCGCGCTGCTGGGTAGACCTCAGGTGTGGGCCGGGCAGTTTGGACACGAGCGTACCTGCAGAGAGAGTGGAGGGAATTGGGCGAGGAGATATGGAGTGGGACTCCGCTGGGTGCGATCGGGGCTGGTAGGACGGCGATGGGAAGTTGGCTTGCTGGCTGGAGGCGGCCTTGGCTGACGGGAGCGAGCCCAGAGAGCTTGGACCCTGCTGTATTGCTGCGTCCAGCTAGGCGCACCACCCCGCGCCTGCGAGCTTTGCTGCCAAGCTGGGCCGCGGCCGATCGCACACGCACGCGCGTCACTACCGGGCCTGACACAGTGGCGCGCGCGTGTCCGAACGGCGCTGGACAGCCTGGAGGCCGCTCAGCGAGCGCTCGCTCTGCCAGCTCGTAAAGGTACACTGTGGCATCAATGACGCCGGTCCATTACGTGCAGCCCGCGCCGATCGCTTGAGAGGAGGCCCCTGCGCACCGCACCCCCGTAAAACCTGCTGCTGCCGTGCTCCCCAGCCTCACCAGCACCAGCACCCGCGCACGACACCACGCCACGCATCCGCGCCAAAACCCACCTTGCAAGATCAAGCGCCGGCGGCGCCCCTAGCTGGCAGCGTTCCAGCGCGAAACGCTCTGTGCGCAGGGCTCCCGCCGGCCCAGGGAAGCTGAGCCATTCCTGCACAGCCACGGTGATGCGCCGGGGCTACTGTGTTCATCATATGGCTGTGGATCGCCGGCGAAATCTTCTGGAAGGGTGCTCCCGGCCCCGTGCCGGCCACTTGCGGGCTGCGCCAATCACTCCTACAAGCGCAGAAAAAATGGTTGAGGTCTGACGCAGCGCAAACATTCCAGCAGTGGCGTCACAGCCCTCGCGAGACCCTGTCATGACCGGCGGACGTGCGTATCGACCAGCGCAGCGCCGCAAGTCATGTCGCTCTCGTCGCTCCAATGAGGCATCTCGCTTAGCTGCCGTTTGCCGACCAGCCCCTCCATGCACAGCTGAAAAGTCGGCCGGCCCGAGACGACCAAGTTCGGCGTCCGCCGCCGCACTGCCTTATTCGCGACGACCGTTAATCTGGTGCCTGTCGTTGAGCGCTGAGTTCCCCACATGCTTCCGACCCTCCCGCCCCGACAAGCCACCTCCCGTCGCGCCTCCATTCCGGTCAACCGAGCTTCTCTCACATTACATACGCGCACGTGCTACTCAATGGCTTTCTTTCCTGTTTACAAATACTAGCCGAGACTCCTTGCATCTGAGTCACCCCTTTACCCCTTCCCTATGGATCAATGATCGACGCCCGCTTCTTGTATCGCTTTCTGGCCTTAGGCACCCCCCTTAACTCCTGGAAGCGATATGAGAAAATCTCAATGACACGCCATTTTGATGCTCGCTCATGGCGTCAAAGGGGATCTCTAAAAATACTAACTCCCGGCCCGGTGCTCTGTGAATCGCTAGCATGAAAACTAAAGCAAATTTCCGATGATCCCTCGAGTTTCTAGAACGCCTCGCTCAGCAGAAGATCGATGACTTTGTCCTCTCGGTTTCCCGGTTTGCGTTGTGCAGGTGCTGTGTGACGTCCAACACCGTCAGAACGTGCTCGTACGTCAGCTCAGTCTCCTTCCTCGACGCCAGCAGCTGCGCCGTCTTGAGAACGTTCTTGATCTGCCGTCCGTTCATGTTCATGAGAGAAAGCGAATCCAGCTGCTTGCTGGTGATGGCGTGCTTCTGCGGGGACGCAGCCAGGAAATTCTTCCAGACCGTCAACCTCGAACTCACGCTCAGCTCGGGGTATTCCAACGAGATATGGATGCGGGACTGGAACGCAGCATCGAACGTCTGCACTCTGTTGGTCGTGAGGAAGAGAATTCCTTGGTAGTATTCGAGCACTCGGAGGAAAATCGAGACCAGCTTGTTGCGCTCCAGCTCGTGGAGTGAGCGCTCCTCCAGGAAAACATCCGCCTCATCAAGCAGCAGGATGGCATTCCACTTCGTGCACATCTCCAGGATGTCTGACAGCTTATCCTCGACAGAACTGGGGTCCAGGCCAAGGTCACCGGCGGACATCATGAACAGCGGGACGCGCATCTCCTCGGCGACGGACTCGGCCGTGAGCGTCTTTCCTACACCAGGAGGACCGCAAAGCAGGAGAATAATGCCCTTACCCTTGCCCTCGATGACGTCGTCGAATGAAGCCTTCACCTTGTTCTGGGTCTCAGTGAAGCCAAGGATGAGCTCCTTTTGGTTGGCGGGCAGCACAAGAGACTCAAAAGCATTTGTCTGCCACTCGATCTCGCGCACGCTGTTGACAAACAGGTTCAGCCACTGCTTCGACTTGAGAGAGTAACCGCGGACCAGGGGGCTGGCAATGAGCTTCTGCTCCTCGGTGAGCGGTGGGCGCTTGGACTCTTCCTCCTCATCCGCGAAATCGCCATCCAAAGGCATGCCATCGTACTGCACCTCGGAGCCACAATACGACTCGTTGTCGCTACAGTCGTCGTCATTGTTGCCGCCGACCTCATCATCACCGGAAGTGTCGGCAATGCCTGCAGATGTCGTTTGCTTGTCCGTCAAGGGGTTGGTGTAGATGGCGAAGTTGGGTTCGAAACGGTTCCAGCCGTACGTATCAATGACTACACGGCCCTTGATATTGTACTTCTGCCTCTTTCCCCAGCTGTCCTCCTTCCAAGCGAGACCATGGTATGCCTTGTAGTGTGAACCGGCAAGAGCCTCGAACTTGGCACCTCTCTCCAACAGTCTCTTGCGGAGAGCGTCGGAGTCCTGGTGATACTCGATGGGATAGGCGGAAAGCTGATGGATTGTCCTGGTGCCTGAATAGCCGGGGATCTTGATGTTCAAGCTGCTTGTACCAAACTGCGTGCCGTTCCAATCGACGTACTTGCAGCGCACCCAGAAGCAAGGCCTTTGGTTGTCGTCACAGCCATAACGGGTATCAGTGAGCTTCATGGCGGTCTCCTGACCATCATTCCGGCAGTAGATGATGGCGCCGGGCTGGAAGAGGGTCCACAGGTGCTCGTAGGTCATGACGCCCTTGGAGATCAGGTCCTGAGATTGTTCAATGGTGTCCTTGAACTCGGATTGCAGCACGTTGAGGAGGACATTGGCGTGTTCCTTGGTGACACGCTCATCTTCGGACTTCGAGTTGGCATCCAGCTTATCGATTGCACGCTTCAGCTCCGGCCATCTGTGGATGAGCGGCTGGAAACGGCCGTCGAACTCCAAGCGCTTGAGGCCGGGTGTCACGCCGGGGTAGCCCTTGAGGACGCGCTCGAGGAGCTTCTTCAAGAGTGGGCTCTGGATGACGATGGAGTGCATCTCCATGACCTTGCGGGGGTCGTTGTAGACCTTGACGTTGCGCACGAGAAGTGCCCATTTTGCCGTCTCTGCGTTCTCAACGGGCTTGCCAATGTCCTCGGGAATGGTGTCCTGCCACTGAAAGCGGCCCTTTTTGTCTTCCTTGCCGGAGTAGAGGTTCTTCATTCCGCACGACATACCGACCTTGGAGGGGTCCAAGGTTTCTTCCGACTTGTCGTCCTTCTTGTCCCCCTCTTTCTCTTTCTCATCCTTGGTTTCGCCATCCTCGGTCTTCTTCTTCTCAGTCTCTGTCGCCTTCTCGCCGTTTACTGCGGATTCGGCGGATTTTCTGCAACAGCAGCAGCAGCTCGAGGTGGTCTTGATGTTGTGGTTCTGCTCCTGCGTCACTGGCTTCGAAGCATCCTCAGACGAGGAGCTGTCGTACATGTGCGGCGCCATTGTTAAGCGATTGTTTGGATTCAGGGCTTGCGTGGTGCGATGAGAAAATGTTGAGAAAGTCAAGTGATGTGCTGACCGCAGAAGTGTTGGGTTGGGTATCAAATGGCGGATGCAAAGTGAAGTGACTAAGGTGATACCCCGCGCGCCGTTTTGAATAACTTTAGCGGTGGCGGGCGAAAGAGTCATCAATGGCGCAGGAAGGCTGGACGTCGCCGAGGTGCTCTTTTAAGGACACCGCAGCCGCTGTTGCCTTAGATCTGGACGTCAATCGTGGAGAAAACACGAGGCTGAGCAGCACGAGCATCAGCGCGCCTATCTCCGGCGTCCAATGAGACGGCAGCTTTCGCACTAGTTGCGGTTTGTTGCCTTGCGCTATCCACCATGAGGCTGAGTTTGGTCCATTTGAGAGGCTACAGCAGGCGGCAGGCGCGTTGAGCATCGCCCATCCCACGTTGCCAACTGGCGCTGCCTGCAGCTAAGACAAGCTACATGCCGCATGTATATGGGCTCAGCGGTGCGAAGCGTGCATAGCTAGTGAAGTGACAAGCGACAGATCAAACCTTCCGGGTGGTCCCCGGCAGGGCCGCTGCCCGTAGCTGCAGGTGAGCTCGAATACATCAGCAACGGCAGGCGCCCTGAAACAGCGCCAATGGCAGCGCTGCCGAGCGGGAGTCAGCGGCGGCAGCGGTGAGGTACGCCGTGGTACGGATTACATGATGACGGGATAGCGTCGACTGTTGCCTTGCCATGCAGTGGTGGCGGTGCACGGCAGGCTCCAGCCACAGGGCGCGCCACACAATGAGGGGTGATGGGACGCGGGCGCCGGGGTCGGATGCTCAGCACTGTGATGGACGAGGGGCACGCTCTTCTTGCGCCGATCGTACGCCTTGTCAGAAGACGCTGTCTCACCGCGAGTAATTGGAATTACTCAACGTCGCATCCTCCGGGGCACTGGGCCGTTTGTCCTCGCCCGTCCCGCGCTTGGGCGGTCAGAAAAGCATGTGTTGTTGAGTGTGCGGCGGCTCCAGTGCCGGGCGTCCACGTTGGACGTCGTACGAGACGCGCTGCCCCGGCGAGGAGGCGCGACTTTCTCCAGAGCCCCGTCTCAGGTCCCTTGCCGCCATGGCACGGTGGAGCTTTATACACCCGCGAGCCATTTACCCCGTCCCCTCCCGGGCCCGCGGAGGCAGCACGACGCTACCAGGCGAGGCGGGCGCGGTCCGGCCCAGTCACAGCGGAGCGCGCGCACGCCATGCTGCAAGGTCCGGTGAGCAGTTTTCCCGTGCATGAAGAAGGCCCCAGAATTGCGAGACAGCGCGACCTGGGCTTCTAGAAGCGGCATGGACGCTAGAGCCGCCCCTCGCGGATAAAGGCTGCGCTGTTGGACGCGGACCAGCGACGGCCGGTCAGCATCAAGACGGGAAGAAACCCGCTATCACAGTCACAGAGGCCCGATAGAGGTGTTGCACGAGCGTGGGCTAGAGGGCTTATCGGAGGCCGCTAAGGCAGAGGACGGCTCTCGCTGCTGCAGCCCGCGGGCGCCACGGCAGGCTGGTGGTGTGCAGGGAGCACGATGGCGCTCAGAGACAGCCTGCTTTTGTCCCACAAAAATGCAGTCTGACTCTGGGCCGCGCTGCGCTCGCGTCGCCCGGCCCGCGCGACTTGCCCGCCGCGGCTTAGCGAGGCGCCAGTCGCTGTGAATTTCGTGCCAGAACCCTGAGAAGCTTGACGCACAAGCATACCGCCCCAGGCAGTCGACTCCCTCTCCCCAGCTGATATTATTAGACAGCCCGCCACCGCTCTCCCGGCTCCCTCTCCTTTCCTCACGATGAGCAATTCCACCGCGACCAGCGCCCACCCGCCTGCCAGCGCGCCCGACCCGACTGTCAACGCCGATGCCTCCCAAAGAGGGCTCCCCGCCGCCGCTGCCGCCGGCTCCGCCGAACTCGCCCATCTTAAAGTAAACCTCAAGAACGCCCTGCGCCAGTTTCCCGACTTCCCCAGCCCCGGCATCCTGTTCGAGGACATCCTGCCCATCTTCGCCGACGCCGCCCTGCACCAGCAGCTCGTGCGCGCCCTCGAGCTGCACGTCTCCAAGAACTACCCCAAGAAGCCCGACGTCGTCATCGGCCTCGAGGCCCGCGGCTTCCTGTTCGGCCCCAGCCTGGCGCTGGCGCTGGGCGCCGGCTTCGTGCCCGTCCGCAAGCAGGGCAAGCTGCCGGGCCCGACGGAGACGGCCAGCTACCAGAAGGAGTACGGCGAGGACTTCTTCCAGATGCAGGCCGACGCCATCAAGCCTGGCCAGACGGCCATCATTGTCGACGACATCATTGCGACGGGTAAGTGGCCTGCGGGCCTGGATAACGCGTTGCGGCGTGCTAATGGCGTGCGACAGGCGGGTCTGCCGCGGCTGCTGGCGACCTGGTCAAGAAACTCGGCGGCCAGCTGCTTGGCTACCTTTTCATTCTCGAACTCGAATTCCTCAAGGGCCGCGATAAGCTCGACGCGCCCGTCTACACTCTTCTCTCGGGCCAGGAGGAAAAGTCGGCGTAAACAGTGGCGGCTGAGACTTTTTTTGGCCGATCCCGAATGCGCCCGAGGCGCCCAACCACCTCCAGGCCCGGCCTGCGTTTAGCTGCATATCCTTGACACGTCACAATTTAAAAAGAAAAAAATATCCGGGCCGCGGAAGACTCTGCAGGCTGCTTTCTACTTATTTCTTAAGGCTGACGAAGGAGCGCGTTTTGGGTGGGAAACTTTGCCGGGGTTGTGAGATACGAACTTTTTCTGGCGTCGGAGGGGCATCCGCTATCTGTGCAGCGTCGGTGTCGCCGTTTTTTGCATTGTTTCGGCCCATACGTCCGGATTTATGATGAATAGACCTCGGCCATTGAGTGGCCTGGGACTTTTGCGCATGTAGCAAGACGATTTGTTTGTCGAAAAATAAAAGTAAGTTCCAATTGATGAGCAGCGGTATCGGCCATTCGCGGCTTCGCTCGTGAGCACCCCGCCATGCCCCGCCAAAACCGAGGGGGAGCACTCTGACTCTTCGGAATGCCATCGACGATGCTCCGTCGCATAACAACTCCACGCCTGCTCTTCTCACGCCCCTCCGCCGTCCGTCAATTGCGCATCCCATCTCAATTGCACGCTCGACAGCCCGCCCGCAACATGTCTGACATGCAGAAGATCTTTACCGCCAAGGCCTGCCCTCGTAAGCCCCTCCCGCAAGTTGCCAGACGGCATTTGGCCCCAGCTAACACACCTTAAACAGCTGCCGGCCCTTACGTACGTCCATCACTCCTTCCACACGCATCCGATCTCCCGCTGCACACCAGCATGTGCCCTGTTCACACACGGCATTGAAGCTCAGCCCTTCAGTTGCCGACGCTCCAGCCCGCTTACGCACCCTCGTTCACATGTATCGGCCACGCCACTGACGCGCAGCCCGACTTCTAGACCCAAGCCGTCCAGGTCGGTCAGCAAATCTTCGTGTCGGGCCAGATTCCGGCCGATGCGCAGGGCAACCTGATCGAGGGCACCATTGCCCAGAAGACCGAGGCCTGCTGCAACAACGTGATTGCCATCCTCGACGAGGCCGGCTCCAGCATCTCTCGCGTGTTCAAGGTGCGTTGCAGAATCGGACCCATTTATCTGCTGCAAACGCTGTCCAATGGATGAGCGCTGACGACTGAAATGTGCATACGGTCAGACCACCGTCTTCCTCGACGACATGGCCAATTTCGCCGAGATGAACGGCGTCTACGAGAAGTTCTTCGCCCACAAGCCGGCGAGGAGCTGCGTCGCCGTCAAGACGCTCCCCAAGGGTGTCCCGGTCGAGATTGAGTGCATTGCTCTCGCTGGCAAGGCTTAAACGATTCGCTGGAGACACCACGGTGTGTGGCCCAGAACAATGGGTAGCATGCATGGATCCACGACAGCAAGTGTCGGATCTAGAACCAAAAACGAATACAAAAAGCAATTGAGCCATTGGCGAATCTATTGGTCTCCGTGACACTAGTCTGTGATGTGAAAGCCGAGTTTCCAAGCTGTACACTGCCATTTTATGTGCATCAGAAAAAAAAATAGATAGAATATCGCCGGGTGCGGCGCTGGCGCATAGCGAGGGACGTCAGCGCCAAGCGAAGCGCATCAACACCGCGTTCACATCACCTCCGAAGACCACCACATCGTTTACCCGCAATCGACATTTCCAATACCGCCCCACGCGCCGCGACCCACCCTCCCCTTCTTCAGTCGCCGCCGAACCCTCCGCCACCTCCACAACCCCGCACCATCGCATCAATCATGGCCGACGCCGAGATGGACGTCGACGTTCAGCCTGCCGACACCAAGGGCAGCAACGAGGCGCGCACCAAGGATGACGCCGTGGCCGTGCGCTCGATCGAAGGCTGGATCATCATCGTCACCAACGTCCACGAGGAGGCCAGCGAGGAGGACCTGACGGACATGTTTGGCGAGTTCGGCGAGATCAAGAACCTGCACCTCAACCTGGATCGTCGTACTGGTTATGTCAAGGTGCGTCGGCTTACCAGCGGCTTTCCGAGACAATGCCTCGCTACCGTCATGCTATCTTTATGAACAAGGATGCCGGGGGCTAATTGCGTTCTGACCCTTTTTTTGCGTGTAGGGCTACGTGTTGGTTGAGTACCCGACCATGGCCGAGGCTAAGGCGGCTATCGAGGGCGCCGACGGCAAGAAGCTGCTCGACCAGACCATCTCCGTCGATTACGCTTTCGTGCGCCCGCCGCCCAAGCAGGCTGGTGGCCCGCGCGGCGGCGGCCGTGGACGCGGCAGGCCGAGGAGCAGGAGTCCTGAGGACCGGGACCGCGGCCGCAGTAGGAGCCCGGAGGACATGAGGGACGATGCCGAGTGAACGCCGGAACAAAAGGACACGAACGAATGCACACACCCGGACTTTGGCTTAAGCAATTCGCACGCAAGATGGGTGATGGTGGACATTCGGAGTAAGGAAGCTGAAGGCGTGAGATATGAAGGCAACGTGGAATGCACCCTATACCGTGGGTATTGGTCATTACCCGAAGTGGTAGTATCGAATTCAAAAGCATGCTCCCGGCTTGTCCCTCGGCAAGCTGGTCTCAAAAACATTTAACAGTAAGTCACGCTCTGCTTGCTCTCGTCTTTGCCGCTGTGACTGACCTGATATCAGATACCCAAACGACGAGAATCTATCTTTGAGGCCTTGCACGAGCTTGCATAACCTGAACTTCAAGTTGGATATGGACTTCTGGCTCCGATGAAAATACAGAATAGTGGTGCCTTCCACGCCATAGCCGATGGCGCGCCTCATCGCGTGACAGCAGGTTTGTCATGACCATGCTTATGGCACTTGCGCAATTGCAGTTCTTGAGTATTTCTGTTTGAGCAACCATTCGTCGCCTCAACAGTGCACTGCACACCTCCGGACAATTAGCCATCACAAACATCGGGAGCTACAGCACACCAATCATGATTGCACAGCTAACAGTTCACAAAGTTCGGCACTTGAGACGAAATCATGGGTTTCACAACATCCGTGGAGATTACGAGATATTTGTCAAATCACAGGTGATAGGGGGCTTGGAGTTGACGGGAGCTCTGAGTGGACCAGCTAGTTTCACGACAACACCACCTCATGCCTCCGAAAACAGGGGTCATAGGCCGCGCAGTGTCTTAGCTGTGCATCCTATCGCGGCAATCGATAACGCCCCAAGACGGCACGAGCTTCCGGGATGCGCTGACCCCGCATCTGTTGAGATGCACAGGACTGTAAGCAAAAACAGCACACGAACAGCAAACAATAGGGGCATTTTCCGACAGTCGAGGCGCTGCAGTACTTTGAACGCGCAGTGGCTCGAGAGGCCGAAGGAATCCCAACGGTGGCAGTCAGCTGAGCGTTGGCCGCGGCAGCTCCCCGCATGACCGCAGCGCTCCCGCGTGGCTTGCGGCTGCGATTGCGGGGAAAGCTATCAAGTCGTTACGCTACGGCAGTGCTCCCTAGCTTTGAAGACTCTGAAACTGTCGAGGAGAGGGGTGACTCGGGCTTCTTTCATGACGTCGGCGCGAAACAGGATGGCGTGCGTTTGAGCCGCAGCTGTCGCTGGTCGCTGCGGGGAAAGCGTCGCGAGTCGCGGGCGCAAGCGAGACAGCTGCGGCCGGACATCCTTGCGGCTTTCGGCCCACGGCCACCACACCACTACCTGAGCCTCCTCGACGCAGGAACGCCGAGAGGCCCTCCCTCCTCGCAAAGCCTTTTCTTCCCCCAGTTTGCTGCCGGGCGCCGCATCTGTTCCCCCATGCTCTATTTTGCCTGATTTCCTCGCTCGCTATCTCCCCTTCGCTCGGCCGCGGCCAGCTATCGTCTTATCGCCGCCCAGCTCCATTCCTCTCGACGACGTCATGGATTCGCGATTGCGACAGAATGCTCTCCTCCAACGATGCCGCGCCCTCACAGCCCTTGCTTTCCTCTTGATAGTCCTGATCTATGCGCCAGTCAACGCGACTGTTAACCACGGCACGCCGTCTTGGTCGCGCGACACCCCCGAAGCCGCTGCCGATGGCGCTCAGAAACCATTCCCGCGCCCCGAAGAGGCCAGCCTCGCCCCGAACGCCGACGCTACACCGGCAGCCATAATTCCTCCAGAGGGCGGCGGAGAAGTCCACTGGCCACTGAACCCTCTGGAAGAGCTGCACAACGCGCTGGAAACCATGCAGTCGCGCTACTTCGAGCTGTGGCTGGGCCAGTGGCCGTCGGCAATCGACTGGACCGCCGCCGTCATGGCCACCTTCGTGTCGGCCACGCTACACTCCCTGACGCGCTCGCTCGAATACGTGCTGCCGGGCGCCGAGCACCCGGTCATCGAAGGGCAGCGCATCGAGAACGAGATCAGCAAGTACTTCTCGCAGTCGGTGGCGTACTACTTTGGCGAGGACGCCTTCAGCTTGCGCATGCAGGCCTACGACGACATGCTGTGGGTAGTTCTGGGCTGGCTGGAGAGCATCAAGTTCATCGATCTGCACGCCAGCCGCCACTACCGCCGGCCCGCCAGCCCGGGCCGCGCGTGGTACGGCCACCAGTTCGCGCCGGGCTTCGCCCACCGTGCCCACATCTTCTACGATATCGCGTCGGGCGGCTGGGACACGGAGCTGTGCGGCGGCGGCATGACGTGGAACCCGCGCCTGACGCCCTACAAGAACGCCATCACCAACCAACTCTTCATCTCCGCGTCCATCGGCATGTACCTGTATTTCCCCGGCGACGAGAACACGTCTCCGTTCATGGTGCAGACAACCGATGGTGATGGAGGGCTGCCGACGGCGCGCCCACACGACCGCAAGTATCTTGCGGCAGCGGTGAACGGCTACAATTGGCTCCGTAATAGCAACATGACGAACAAGCAGGGCTTGTACGTCGATGGTTTCCATATCCGCAACTGGGGCAAGAACGGCAGCATCGGCACTGGCAAGTGTGATGAACGCAACGAGATGACGTACACATACAACCAGGGAGTCCTGCTGTCGGGCCTGCGCGGCCTGTGGGAGGGCACGGGCGAGCAGTGGTATCTCGAAGATGGCCACGAGCTCGTGCGGAACGTCATCAAAGCCACAGGCTGGGCAGAGCACGAGAAGAGGAGAAGAAGGGGCAAGGCGCTTGACGAGGACGAGACCGACGAGAGTGACGACGACAACGATGCCGTCGACGCGGACAAGAAGAAGAAAAAGAAGAAGAAGAAGAAGAACGGCAAGTACAAGTGGTACGGCATGGGCCGCGACGGCATCCTGGAAGAGGTGTGCGACGCCGACGGCACGTGCAGCCAGAACGGCCAGACGTTCAAGGGCATCTTCTTCCACCACCTCACCCTCTTCTGCGAGCCGCTGCCCCTCCAGCCCACCGTCCCCGGCGTCACGCACGGCGCCTCCCGGGAGACGGCCCTGCTCCACCGCCAGAGCTGCAAGGAATACGCCTTGTGGGTCGCCCACAACGCCCGCATGGCCCTGCGCACGCGCGACGGCGAGGGCCGCTTCGGCATGTGGTGGAGCGCGCCTGAGTGGGACGATGATGAGGCTGATGAGGTCGAGGTCGCGGCTCCGCCGTTGCCGCTCGGCGCCGTCGATTATAGGAATAATGACAGTTTGCCGGACGGCGAGATGTGGATGCCGATCAAGGACTACGATTGGAGCAACGGCGGCGACGACGGAGTCGTCGTCCCGGAGAGCGATGGGTTGCCGTCGTTCATGGGCTTCGACCCCGTGATGGCGGGGGCGACGGGGAGAGCGGCGAGGGTGGCGCAGAGTGCGGGCGGAGAGAGCGGAGCGGAGATGAGGGATAAGAACGATAGGGGCAGGGGGCGGACGGTGGAGACGCAGGGAGGTGGCGTGGCGGTTGTTAGGGCGCTGTGGGAGTTTGTGAATATGTATCGGGAGTGATGTGATGTGAGTGTGTGTGTGTGTGTGTGTGTGTGTGTGTGTGGAGGAGGGGATGGGGGGAGTTTCGTCTGCTCTTGGTAGCGACGCGTTGGGAGAAAAGGGCATGGTAGGTGTTACGTTTCGTTCTTTGATAGGCGGGATTTTGAGCGAGCTGGCGAAGAGCGTATATCATAGTGTGAGAGAGCTCTTCTTCGTTGGTTGGATTTTTCTGCGGCTTGTATGTTGGGCGTTTTGCTTCTGCTGTGTAGATATCCTTTTATGTGAATCAGATGCTTAGGGAGATGAGGTGAGATAGGTTACGGGTACAGGAATGAGCAGTGCTGTGTTTTGGATGTGCAAATGACCGCAGGATGAAGGGGGGATTTGCGTGCACGAGGTGTTGGCCCTGCATGTACAGCACCACTTGTGCTGTCAGCCGTCTCGTGGTCCTGGCAATTCTTGTCATCTGACGGTATTCATTTTGAGGGAGGTCGACTTTATAAGAGTCTTACTCTGCTCTATCACTGTGACTTCTCCATCAGCCCCTCCCATTGCGGTTAGAGCTATGGGTAGGCTACGTACTTTGCGCTATTCCAGTCCTAGAAGACATACACTTTCGGCTAGTTAGAAAGCTACTCCTCCTAACAGACGACGCAGCCAAGACGACCAGGGCATTTGACGATGCTGTAGTTTGTCAGGCAGTGATGGTGCGGCGCAGCAAAAGATCGTCATGATGAACTGCTGCAATATATGAGCCGTCGTGGAAGAGCGGCGGTATGGCTCTGGCTAGGAAGAGACGGCGAGTTGAGGAGAGGAGGAGCAGGCCGAACAGTGTCAACTTTGTTTCCGTCCGGGAGACAGAGCCCAGTCTGAAGTACGTTGATGATTGTGGAGTGCGTATTTTATTGATACTGTTGCTTCGTGTCTTGGGCAGTGGAGAGCCGAAGCTTTTATATGTGAAATCCACGCCGTTTCGAATAATGGAAGGCGTCATGTGGATGTGTGGTGCGGCTAGAGTCAGGTGCCGAGGCGGGTGTGCGGATGTGCCGGTGCTTTAAAAGCATAGCCGGACCTAGGATTTTCTACCAGCACCATCATGGTTTGACCAGAGCTTTGGATTACAATCCAGACGGAACTTTGGGTGAACGACAGCAAATGTACTTCCGCTCGTGGAGTTTCACTTGACCAACCCAAGCCATAGTCGTGATTCCGTGAAGTTCGGCCAGACTGCTCTGTTGGCGATAATGATAATCATGACAGGTAGATGGTGACTTGCATTAGTTCCTTCATGTAGGTCCGCACTATTTCACACTGCTGTGATTTGTATCAATTGCCTACCAAGGAGGTAGTGAGAAGGCGAGTATTGTGTGATAACGTCGGTAATATTCGATCTTCCAAAGGGAGCTTTATCGTAAACACATACAAGCCGTAATCCTAAAAAAGCGAAGATATGGACGTATATATGCAGTCTCCAATGCAAGGGAAACGCCGAATAATCTCTACAAAAGGACACAGCAGCGCTCCTCAGCCCAGATGCAATAAGCCTAAAAACCAACAAAACCAAAACGAACCTTAAATCACACCGGACTGCTCAGCGTCTTCCGCAACTGCAGCCCTATGCTCTCCCTCGACTCATCCTCAGCCTCCTTGGCCTTGACCCTCCGCCGCGGGGGCAGCAGCGCTCTCCTCCCCTTCCCAACCCACCTCACCACCGCCCTCCTCACCCCCCAGCTCTTTCGCCTAAAAAATCCTTCTTCTCGCTGTCGGGTACGGATGATGATGTAGTAGTGTTCGTAGTATTAGCAACAGTCCCTCCACCGCCACCGCCACCGCCTGTATCAGCCGGCGTATGCTGTTGCTGCTGCGGCAAAACCTTTTCCTCGGCGGGCGTCGGCACCTCCGGAATCTCCTCCATCTGCGGGACGCTCAATCTCCTCGGCCTGGGCCCACCGACCCTCATAATTCCGTTACCGGCATAGAACCCATTACTACCGCCGCTTCCACGATGGCTCGCGGAACGCCCGACGCCGGCAAGGCCGTTGGAGAAGGCGTTCTTCTGCTGCTGGAGGTGCAGCTCGCGCTCCGCGTCTTCGGCTTGCGAGCGGAGGAGCACGACACCGGGCGTGACGGGCTCCGGGTCGTCGTCTTCGACGATGTAGATGCGCGGGAAGATGAGGAGGAGGGATTCGTCGGGCGGGACCGTCATGGGGAGGGCGAAGGGGTTGGTGTTGGTGAAGATTGTTTTGTTGTTGCCGGTGCTGCTGGTGGTGGTTGAGCCGGTGTTGATGACGCCGTTGGAGAGGAGTTGTGGGCCCGGAGCGGTGGGGGCGACGGGGGCGGGCATGCCGGGGGTGATGGCGGCGGAGGAGCCGGTGTTGGGGGTTTTGGGTGTCGGTGTTTGCGGCGAGACTTTGGATGAGGGTGGGCTTTGTTGCGGGGTGTCGACCTTCGCTGTCTGCTTGTTGGCTACCGGCGGTGGCAGGCCGGTGTTGTGGGGGTGGACGTCGAATTGGAACTGGATGGGGCGCTCCCAGCCGTAGTCTTCGACCTGGAAGTCGGGCTCGAGCCGCAGCCGCAGGCGCTGGGCCTTCCACCAGATGTCGCGTGCGTCTTGCACGATCTGCTCCAGCCGGTTGCGGAAGCTTTCGACGTGTACTGCGGGCAGCAGGTCGTGAATGTGGTGCATCAGCTCCTTGACGATGCGTGTCACCAGCTCGTCCGCAATATCGGCCTGCTCGTCTTCGAACGTGGCGAGGAATATGCCGCGCGTGAAAGCTTCACGCTTGCTGTTCTCGATGGCCTGCCGTATCAGTATCTCACGCAGCCCACTCTCCTCGTGCAGGATGTACGACGGCTGGAAAAGGTATTTGTCGATGAGGCGAGCGAGGATGGCAAGAATTACGGCGATACGCATGGATTTGGCGCATTGAGAGTTGGACTGCGGAAGTGGGATGTTGTGTGAGAAGTCCTCCGGTTTCTTGATCTCGCTCCAGGCATAGGTGTTCTGTGCCGACTGTCAGTCGCGGTCATGGACAAGGAAAGGGGTAAAACTAACAACCAAGATTTCTTTAGGAAGGTCTTTCCTAAAGTAAGAAGAGATGAGATCATGAGCGGAGCGCCAAAGCTCGTCGAGCAGAGATATCCTGTGCAAGTGTAAGTCAGTATACCGCCGCCGCACCACCCGCGGGATCGCCATCAACTTACGAAGTCTCCCACTTCTCATCGCTCAGCGGCTCGGCAAACGATTCCAACTCGGCCAGCCTCTCGGTCGTGTCCTCGAGGTCCCTCTGCAAGTCCTCATTCTCGCGATGGCACGTCATCAACGACGACTTGGCCTTGTTCGCCTCCGTCTCCGCCTTCTTCAACTGCGCCGCCAGCCCCGCGATCTCAGCGCCCTTCTTCTCCGCCTCCTTCCGCGCCACCTCGGCGCGCTTCTCCATATCCTTCTTCATGTCCGCAATAACCTTGGCCGCCTTCTCGCACTTCTCCTTCTCCTGCTCGAGCAGACTGCGCGCCTGCCTCCCCTGCCTCACCAACTCCTCATCACTCTTATGCAACCGCGCGATATCCTCCTTCTGACGCCTTACTTCCGCCTCAAGCACGTCAATCTTAGCCGCCAGCTCGCGGCTCTCGCCGCGGTGGCGCTCGTACTCCTTGTTGTACGTCTCCAGAAACGCGGAACCGATGCGGTCGCGGTCGCGACGCTCATCTGCCAGCGCTTGCGCGTGGCGCTGCTGCTGCTCGTCCAGCGCCGCCGACAGCGCCCGCAGCTCTTTTTCCTTATCGGCCGCGACGCGCCGCAGCCGCGGGATCTCGTCGATCAGCTCCGCCGTGCCGTGGAAGCTGGCCGACGATGTGAAGGCGCGCGCCGCCTCGAAGAAGGCTTGTGCCGTGCGGGCGGCCTCCGAGAGCGAGTTGACCGACGGGTGTTGGGGTGGGTTGGCATTGTTGTTGCTGTCTTTGGTGTTGGGGTCGGTCTTGGTGCCGGCGCCGTTGCTGTTGATGCTGTTTCTGTTGCTGGTATTGCCGTTGACGCCGTTGCTGCCGACGCTGTTCCTGTTGCTACTGGTGTTCATCACCGCGGCGCCGGTGTCGGCCCTCGTCGGGAGGGGCGCCGGGGGTTGGACGGACATGGGAGGACGAGGGGGTGGTGCTGTGGATGAGGCGAATGACGGCGCATCATCTCATGCTCGTGACAGAGACAGTGATGCGCCAGAAAGAGAGGGGAGAAAAAGGCCCGGAGCGGTTGAAAATTAGAATGAAGGACTGGGACAAAGGCAGTGTAAATGCAGTGGAGGTGGGGATAATTTCTTGACCTGGCAAAGCATCTTCCCTGCGTACTGCGCCAAGTCTGGGTTGCATATGTACGTAGCTCCGAACGACGGGCTGCTCTTGCTTCCCCCCGGGCGCCTACATGCGGGTGATTCGCTGGATCATGCAGATGGCTGATGACGTTCCTCTCTGGCATCGTCGATAGACCCCCTCTTCGGCTTACCCACCTTCGCACAATTCTTCTAGAACTGAGGGGCTGCCGAATCGAGCCGTGAGCTGACGCTTCGAGAATTTTGCTCGGATGTGACGACTCGGCACCGCCATATCCGACTCAATTCATTCCATGTCGGATCCGAAGGCTTCGTGGTGTTGGCGACAGAGCTGGAAGCAGCATGTTTCATTGTACGGCGTCCGATGAGCTGTTCATTAGGGAAGGCATGAATCACGTCAGTTGACTTCCGATATTAGCTGTGCTGCAAGAGATAAGTTGGTAGCATGCCAGCGTGTTCGCTGCGCCATCAGCTGTTCCGCTGGACAAGTGCGGCTCTCGATGCAACAGCGGAATTGCTGCCAGCGCAGAACGAGGTCAAGCTTTGCAGGCTGACGAGGTAATCATCCTGTTGGGTGGTCGCGACAAGGGACGACATCCACGCGCCGCTCCAGACGTGGCGGGTCGTCATTCGGTTAACAGCTGCAGCTCCGCCTCCAATCAGCGCCGCCCCTCTGCCGTGCGTGGGATATGGTGGAGCTACGTGGCCCAGGGCGCGTAATGCTACTGTGTGAATTAGCTGATGCCGCCGCATGTCTCCTCGCGCAGATCCGGCAGATGATAAGTGATGTGCGTGTGGGGTGTTGGCCCGACGCGGCTCTGCGGCTTGGTCCTCGGGCCCGCAGGATTCGCGCCCGCCCCTGCCTGTCAATCGCCAGGGGTATGATGTCACTCCCTTGGCTTTATTCCACTTTCTTCTATAAACACTTCCTAGAGAATTCTTATGGGGAACCACATTCCTCGCACAATTGAGCATCGACCCAGAACGAATTTATCACACTTTTCTTTTGTCGTTCTGCCAAAACAACGAGCGGATCACCAAGTGGCAGACAGACCAAAAGCATAACCAAATGAAGTTTAACATAATCTGATCACGACAATCATTTTCAAAACATGCTGATGAGCAGAAAATCACGGAATATTGGGCTCATCATCTTTACATACACTTGGTGCTAAACACTGTTGCAACGAACTCACGAATTGGCTGACTAACAACATTCTCGGGACTCTCGGGAATGATACATGTCATGGAAACAGACGGCACAGACAGTGAAGAGTCAGCATATTAGTGCTTCCCACTCCCATGGACTACGTGCATGCAGTGTCGAAGAAAGCTGCAGGCCACAGCGCCACCTTTATACCGAACGGCCTACAGCAATCCGCACTTCTCCAGACCTGCCCACGAGGCTCGGGTCCCAACAGCGCAGCAGCTGAGCTGGGCGTGCCGTCGTCACCAGGCTGCGTCTGCCAGGTGCTGTCGCGTACGTGCACTGGTGCATATGACCCGACCCCCGGCTCTGGACATCGCGTGCACTGCTGCCACGGCGGCAGCTACCCGCGAACAGCAATGCGGAACCCGGTCTCCATAAAAGCGCTCATCGTGAGGCCTTCCAACCAGCTTCTCCGTGAGTTCTCACTACACTGTTGTGACAGATACTCAGAAACATGATCAATAACCCGTAGTACTTTGGCGGTTTGTGGTTCGCCGGGTTCGGGTCTGCTTCTGGAGAAGAGAGCGGCTATTGTGGACGAGCAATTGACCATTGCTGATTGTCAGCATCATTCGGTAGTAAGCTCAAACATCATTATCGCTAAATGCAATATCACGTAATATTTGATTTTGCATATAGTCCTTAGAGACAGGCTGTAAACTTTCGGATCTGAAGAAAGGGGAACGACCAGTTGGGCACAAACCCCAAGGTTCGAATGTCGGGAAAGAACTCAGAACAAGCCTAATGATTAGGCTTATGAGGTCTAGAAAATGGGAGGCATTTATAGCCTCAGCGAACTAGCACCACCCACGTGCATGACCCCAAGCACCATGCGCTAGCCCGCAGTATGGAATGAGCACCCAACCGAAAGCGGAATGCTAACAATACCTCAACCACACCCACGAAAGCTCAAGCACATCCAAACAGCATCCGAAGTGGAAAGCAGAATTGGAGTCATCCGAAACCGTTAATGCCATTGGCTATCGACAGCCACTTTTGTCATGCAATAAAATGCTATGAATTCCCCCCATCTCCCATGAGAACGCCCCTGCCCCCCTCCTCCCAGCATTCGAGCCGAATAATCCACTTGGAAAAGGTAAAGGAAAAAGTCGTCCTCCCCCTCCTCTCTCTACTCAATCACAAGAAAGCAGAGCCGGTGTAGACCGGGTGCAGTCCCGTGCCCATTAACAGATCTGCAAAGTCCCGCATGGCTTGCTCATCCAGCTCCTCCGTATCGATGAAATCGTCTATCTCTGGCTCCAGGTCCTCCCCGTCTGGTCCCGACACGGTGATGATAGGCGTGGCAATGGTGGATGAGTCATCGCTCGAGGTGGAAGAGCTGTCCGACTCATACGCTTCGTCATTTACCGGCCCATGCGGATGACGCCGGCCGCGATCAGCTTCTGAATGTTCGCGCGCACTTGCGGGTTCTTCATGTGCTCCTGCAGAGCCGCCGGGTCGCCCTTGGCCTGCTGCAGGATGCTCTGCATGACGGGGTCTTGCAGAATGCGGACGATCTGTCGTCTGTTAGGATTGAAGCAACACATAAACAGGGGAAATCAGTGTTCACTCACATCAGGGTCCCTCTGGATACGCTCCATGGTCTGCTCCTCGGTCTCGCCCTCACGAGCCGAGAACTGGGCCTGGATGGCCTTCTGCTGTGCCTGCTCAATTTCACGAGCGTTCTTGCCGTCATCGTGCTCCGAGGCCTCGGTAAGCACATCCAGAGCCTTGTTGTACTCGCGCATGGCCTGGAGAGCCTGAGCCTTGCGGAGGTAGGCACGGATGAACTTGTTGTCACGCTTGATGGCCTCGTCGCAGTCCTGGACAGCCGAAGGGAAGGCAAGGAGCTTGATGTAGCAAGCGGCACGGTTGCTGTAACCACGAGGGTCTTCGGGGGCGCGCTTGACCATCTCGCTGTAAGCCTCGACGGCACCAGCCCAGTCTGCGTTCTTGAACTTCTCGTTGCCGAGCTCGCGAGCTTCCTCGGCCTTCTGGGGGTCGATGTAGGCCTCCTTCTCGGCCTTGATCTTGGCCTTCTCAACCGCGCGAAGCTTGGTGAGAATGTCGGGGGTACGGTGCTCGGTGAGGGACTTCTGGTAGAATTCGATGGCCTTGCCCAGATCACCCTTCTTCTCGTACGAAGTGCCAATACGGCCGAAGGCCTTGGCAATCAGCTTGAAGTCGGCAAGAACCTCACGGCCGTGGTCGACAGCACGCTGGCAGGCCTCAATGGCGCCATCGTAGTCACCCTTCTCGAACTTGGCAGCACCCAAGTTGGTGAGGTAGGTGATGTCCTCGTAGATTTCCCATGCCTTCGAGTAGTGCTCGATAGCCTCGTCGAACTGCCTCTTCTTGTAGAACTGAGTACCAAGGGCCTTCTCCTCGTCGGCCTTCGCCTTCAGCTCCTTCTTCTTCAGCGCGTCCTCATCTTCCGGTTCCGGTTCGGGCTCCGGCTCGGGGGCCTTCTTAGGCTGCTCGGGCCTCGCGTCGGGCATGGGTACATCCTCCTCGGCCTCGGCGGGCTTGGGAGCTTCCTGGGCGCCCTCGGGCGGCTGGCCAAAGCTCATGTCGATGCCGAGCAGCACGCTCATGACCTGGAGGAAGCGCGGATCACGCATCTCCATACCAACGCTCTGGGGGTTCTGCTTTATGCGCTGGAGCTTCTGCATGAACTCCTGGTCGGCCAGCAGGCTAGCGGTCTTGGGGTTGGAAGCGAGCTTCTGGATGAGCTGAGGGTCGTTGAACATGTTGGCCAGGCCGCCGGTGGGGTCGGCGCCATCGCGACGAGCCTCAGCCTCAATGGCGCGCTGGACAGCCTCGAGGCCGGACTTCGCCTGGGCATTGGCGGGGTCGAGCTTGACAGCCTCTTCGTATGCGTCGACGGCGGTGACTGTGTATTTTGGTCAGCGGTGGGTTCCACAAATCAAAGGGACAACAAAGGGCACGCACCAAGGTCGCCCTTGCCGTGCAAGGCTGCGCCCTTCCGTGCCCAGCCTTTGCTCCAGTCGGGCTTGATCTCGGTCGTCTTCTCAGCGTCCTTGAGGGCGTTGTCGAAATCCCTCAGCGAGGCGTAACATGCGGAGCGGTTGGAGTAGAGCACATGGTTGGAGGGGTCGATCTCAATGGCCTGCGAGAACTTTTCACTTGTCGAGGTCAGCTCCGGTGTGTGCGGCTTGGGCAGTGACATGCACTCACATAGCTTCGGGGAACTGCTTGGCGGAGAAGAGCTTGTTGCCCTCGGCCTTAAGTGCGTCGGCCATGGTGAGCGCAGGGCGTGCGATGCGTCGCGAAGAGTGGATTGGGTATCTTGGTAGTGGTGTGGAGAGGGAAGGTGACGCGCAGCGCGATGGAGCTCTGGAGTTTAAGACGGCGATCAGCCAGTCAAGACCTGGAAATTGCTAGAAGCCTCCGCCCCGCCCCGCCCCACGCGACTCACCCGAAAGTCTCAGCCGCCTCCTCACCCAATCTGCGCCTCACGCCGGCCACAACTTATCTGCGCCTCAGCCTTGCGCAACGACATCGCTCACCTTGCTGGACACTTCCAGGCAGCACCTCACTTTCGCAAACCGCCACAGCAACAAGGCTGAGCACCATGACAAATGCCTTCACGTCACACCAAACGCCGCCGCTCGCTCCGAATTCCAAAGCCGCTGTCCATCTACCGCGAGAATCCGTCTACCCTTTGTCTGGCCTGGACGTCGGCAGCCGTTTTATGAGACACAACTGCCTGTGGCGCTTCAGCTAGTTTGGCATTGCGATCATTACATGCGTGTTAGTCGCTCTTCGGCGGTGCACAAAATGAAGCCGGAGATGATGCGGGAATATGTAGGATGCAGTTTGGAGAGCAGATTCAACCCTGAAAATATGTTCTGTTTGATGCTGTTGGAAAGACTGTGTTTAGGAACCAGCGGGTGTATCATTGGATCTGGACCCACTATGCCTCACGAACAGGGTGACCCAGGAGTTCAGGGAGAGCCAAATGCGGGTTGTGGGGACGGCCGAGTAGGCTGCTCACGAAAATTGAACAGGGTGAGCTCCCCTAAGCTCGACTGATTGGTTTCCATTGGCGCTCTGTGCTGAGAGACATGCGCTGCTATTGGCCGGCTCTGCACTCTGCGCCACCGATTTCCTCAATGCCGAATTGGACTTACGTAGACCCAACAGACAGATCCTAGCCATGTTCAAGCTCAAGGTGAGGAGTTTCAATATCACGATGGCATTAAAAAAAAAAGAAAGAAGAAAACCGAAACCGAAGCTGAAGTGCGAGGAATTAAGCTCAGAAACCTCACCGCGCGGCAGAATCAGCCCCACCAACGACAGTTTCGAGATGCTCCGGTCTGTGTGCGTGCCATTACTGTGTGACGAAGCTTTGGATATCTCTCACCTGACTAGACTCGCTCAGATTCTTCTTCGGTTACCAGAACCTTTCCAGTGGCCTGCTTTCCGGTGTTGTTCATGTTGGACTGGATGTTTTATTGACCGAAGGCCAAGAAGTTGGAAGATGTCACTGTTCTATGGACCTGTCAGGCTGCCGTCAAACCACCTAGCCGGTGTCAAGCGTCCGGTAAATTATTCCCTTGGTCGTTTAAACCTCAATAAGGGACAAGGGTCTATATCTAAACCGAGGGTCACCGATTCGCTACCACGGCAGTCAAAAATCAAATCTACATATAAATGCCGCTGTTGCTGCAAGATTCCGTGTCTACAAATATTTCCACCAGGGTCTCTTGCTTACTTGACGCTCATACCCCAACAAAAAAAAAAGAAAGACGCTGTGTCAAGATGCCCGCCTTTTCATTCTCGTCCATGTTCCAGGAACAAGGCCCTAGGAAACGCCTAACCAAGCAGCCCAAACCAACCTCCACACCAAAAAAGAACTCCCACCCCTCCTCTCCGAACACCTCCACTCCCGCACCACCACCACCATCCGCCAACACCCCTTCTTCCACCACAACCGCCACCACTCCACACTCAACGCCAGCAACCGCGCCCACCCCCGTCCTCACCCCCAACTCCTCCTCCTCCAACAACAACGACGACGAAAACAACAGCAAAAACCCCCACCCCATCCCAACCCACCGCCAACCACGCTCCCCCACCCCTCCCACCACCACCACGGCGACGCCCACCGGCGACCGCTGGGCCTGGGCCTACCTCGACCCGCCCGACCCGCGCTTCCCGTCGCGCCCGCCCATCCCGCCGCTGGCCGACTGGGCCGAATGGGCGGCGCAAGATGCCGAAGAGTTCGAGGAGCTGCGCAGGGGCTGGAACAACAATAACAGCAGCAGCGGCGACGACGGCAACAGAGTCGTCCTGCAGCGGCACCAGGCGCAGGAGGTGCAGCAGGCGCCGCATCAGCATCAACAACAGCAGACGACGACGCGGGAGGAGCGGCGGGAGCGGAAGAGGGCGCGGATGGCGCGGCGGGAAGAGGAGATGGAGGCGTGGTGGAGGTGGTATGAGAGGGAGAATAGGGCGATGGAGGAGCAGAGGGGTGACAGGGCGTTGGAGGAGGAGGAGCAAAACGAGATCGAAGCGGAGAGAGCGAAGTTGGAGGAAGAGCGGGTGAGGCTGGAGGAGGAGAAGAAGAAGAAGAAGAAGAAAGGGAGGAAGGTGGTGGAGTGGGAGGAAGAGGCGCGGGTTCGGGAGGTGGAGCGCCATGAGCAGTATCCGCGTCAGGAACGAAGCTATGTGGAGCAGTGGCTTGGTGAGCAGCAGGGACGCAACCCTCAGTCACAACTACAGGATGGTCGGTCCTTGTTACGGCAACACCAACCGACTATCAATAGGCATGTGCAGTTTGCGGAGCTGCCGCGCAAGGAAGACAGTTTCCACAGCAGGAATGACTGATGGACTCATCACAAGGAACCTGCAGACTAGATGGGCTGGACGCTGAGGAGTACGGAGCAAATGTAAGAGCAGGCAAAACCAAGCTTTTCGGCCACTGGCGTTGGGGGCGCGTAGGTGCCAAAAGAAATGATCCTCCCGGAGGCGTGGGTAGTTGAAGCTATCATCCGGACACAAATGTTTATTTAATAATTCGACATCTACATCCGGACAGTAGCTTTTGATACCTATGTAGCCAGATGGAAATTATGGCTCAGGTCTTTCGGCAACCATTGTGGGGGGTGCAAAAGGCTCAATTGAGAGAGCACTTATTAGATATCTGTATCATCTTCTCATATTCTTCCTCTTTATCTGATTCTTATCAGCCTCATCTAATCAAGCAATAGAACCATTACATGATTCCAAGCTTTCCGAAAGCCTCAATCACGTCTTTGTCTACGTTGACCAACCACTCATCTCTGAACCTGTCCTGCCCACCACATGCGGCTATGGCTTGCTGCAAGTGGTCACGGATGAAGGGCATGATGTTCACGATATGAACGGGATCGGTAAAAATCATATCGCGGCGGCGGACCTCGTCTGGTGCTTCAGGGGTCTCTGCCTGCTGGTCTTCGCGTTGCCATACCAAACAACTGTACATGTTATTAACTTTGCTTGCCAACTGCAATTCAGGATTGTACTCACTCCACGCTTGGGTCCGCATTGCCATCTGTCAGTTCGATGACAATGTCCGTCCACATTGTCATCAGGTCTTGCAGCTTGATCAAGATCCAGTCCTTGCCGGTCTCAAGCAACTTTGTGATAGCCAAGCACATCAGCTTTTTGCTGACCGGTGCCGCGATATTGTCAAGGTGGTCGAACCACTCCTCCAACAGCCACTTCATGCGCGCTTCGAGTGCTTCGGCAGCATCTTGTGTACCGTCGGCCGAGGTCCGGGTTTGTGCAGCTTCGATGGCGCCGAGGAGAACACGGTTGGAGGCGAGGCCGATACGGGCAATGACGGTCCAGTAGTCCGTCTCGACAATGCCGTCGACAGCAGAGGGCCTTGCGCAGAGTCAGCACCTCGGGAGCAATAGTACTTCTCAGGGAAATGCACTTACCGAGCGTTGGGGCCGGTCTTCTGGTGGGCTTCCCAGGCTCCCTTCAGCCCATCCAGGAGACCAGTGAAGAACTCGGTTCGGATCATGTCAGCAGTTAGTATTTCTACGGCCGCCTCTCCGCCTAGAAGGTCTGCGGCGCGTACGTAAACTTCCACGAGGTGAGTGACAAGACCGTTAGCTTCGGGTCGCAGGGAGCCGAGAAGCGATGCTGAAGCAGGTCAGTGGCTCGAACAGCTGAATAAAAAAAAAAACATATGCGGGTGTTTGAAGCTATCGTCCGGACGAGAATGTGAAATTAAGGCAGGAAGAGAGGCACTTACAAAGCGAGCTCAAAAGAGCTGTACGGAGATGGTCGGAGCACATCTCAGTTGGTGCTAAGAGAAGGTACACCTCTGCAATCTCGAGTGTCTTCCGGAGGCTTTCACTACCGAGCTCGAGTGTGGGGATGAGATACGGTGCAAGCGAGAGGACCTCTGGGGAAGCCGGCACCGGTGTTTGGATGAGTACTGCGTGCCACAGTTCGAGGGCATCCTCTAGAAGGTAGACCTGTGTGTCCGAGCCAGGTTCAAGAGTGTTCTTGATGATTGGGATCACCATGGAATGAAGGGGGACCGACTCGGCCTTCATGGCATTGATGAGACGAGCCAGGATTGTGAGGATTGCCTGCTTCATGAGATGCTCCTCACCGGATTGCTCCCAAAGAGGTGGCAACAACGAAACAATGCTGTTCGCATATGGCGTAATATGATGTTCGAGGCGCTCGACCACAACACTGATGGTATTCAGAAGCGCCATTTTCGTCTCGCTCAGTTCAACCTCGCCGATGAGAGCCATTAGGCGGTTTAGCACATTCGAGGCATGGGGCATAAAGCCCTCAATCTTGAAGTCCCAGTCATCAGCGATGTTCTTGAACTGGCGTCCGGCCGTGACGCGGACAACATGGTCGTTCAACGGATCTTCTTTGTTGAGCAAGTGATCGAAGATCTGGTAGACGAGGGGCCGAGTTTCATCAGAAACCTTGATCGTGATCCATTGGCCCAGCAATATCGCTATCCGACGGCGCAAAAGATTGTAGCCAGGCTTCTGCTTTTGAACCTCGGCGACCAGCGTGGATCTGATGAAACCATCGAAGTCGAGCTCGTGATGAAGAACAGGGGCCGCTAAGCCGACAGCAGTGTAGACGGAATCTTTGAAGAGGATGTTCTCGTTGTCTGGTGAAGCCACGGAATAGAACACCTGGAGGAGTGGTTGGACGAGAGTCTTGAAGTTTATGGCCAAATCGAGGAAGAGTCTCTCGGCGCAAGACCTTATCGAGTACTCAATATCATCACCCTCCATGTCTTCTCGTCTTTCCCACTCATCCGGCTCCTCTTCCCACTGACGAAGATCACTTGGCCTGAAGACAAAATAACGCGTCACCACGGTCTCCATCATTTCGCGTACGAAATCTTCACCGAGGAGCTCCTGTTTTACTAGCTGCGTCGCTTCGGCTCTCTGTAGGAAAAAGTTAGCTAAGACAGGCAGAGTGGTGTAAGTTCATGACTGACCTCCTGCTTCTCTTGCTCATGGCGGTACTTGAAAGTTTGCGCTGGGTTGAACACCATCCTCAGGCATGCCCGTATCAGCAACAAGCCTTTCAAACAGAGACGTTCCATGATGGATTTCTCATCGTCATCTGTGTCGCCATCAGTACCAATCTGCCCCTCCATGGAGGCTTGTTTGATGCCGAAGTTCTCGCCAAACTTGACGATAAGTCCCCAATAAGCCTTGGTAGTGTTTATGGAGTCGGGAAGCAGAACGAAGGCAGCAGGGTGAGTTTTTGACATTTCAAGATGCAGCTTAGCAAGCTGAAGGAGGTGCTTTTCGACGAGTTCTTTCACAGGAGATGAGAGCGTGGATGGTTCCTGCGATGTGATTGTGAGGAAATCGCCCAGCTGATTCCGGACAATGCCCCAGAATTGCTGCACGTCAGAATCGCGGTTGGGAAACTCGAATCCTGAAACTAGAACTCGACGCAAGACCTTGATGGCAAGTAGACTTTGCTCGATACTTTCCAGAGCGCCCCCTTCATCGTCGCCTCCATGCTGCAGGAATGCCAGCCATTGCTGGACCTTTTCCATGTAAATATGACCGAGGACACGGAAGACCTCGGGGGAGATGGACAGTAGGTTAGAGCGAAGTCTTATGATGCGTCCAGTGGCCAATTCCTTGATGATATGAAGAAGGATCAAGAGGGTACGCGGCAGATAGAGAGGGTTGGCGCCTGGGGACGTGGACTGGCGGAGGAGATCGAGCACGTGGTTGATGACATCTGGCCAGTCGTGCGGAAACTCGAATCTGACGATTTTTGCGATGACAAGGGCATTTTGCAATGCAAGCCTCTGGTCAGCCTCATTGACTCCGCTTTCCAGTAGCCTCGAACGGATGAGGGTCTTGTCTTCTTTGCTGACCGCACTGCAAGAGGTCAGTATCCAAGGCGTGAAACAAGGCAAGGTCTTTACTTCGTGGCAGTCTTCCTCCAGTACTTGTCAATGCCGTTCTTCAGCTGAATAATGGCGAGATAGCGGATCTCTACAGGCAAGGATTTGTCAATGAAGGCGGCCTAATTATTCGTTAGTCTCATATACAAGCGGATCCTTGCAGTTTCATGGTCATTCCGGGAAGCTGGCGCAAAGAGAAGACAACCCGGTGTGGCGAAGATGCGTACTTGGAGTAGTGGGTAGAAACCCTTCTCGGATTCCCATTTCTGCAACTGTTTCGTGCCAGTCTGAATCTGGTGCGGATCGCTCGATGCGGCAGACCGGAGCACGTGAAAGAGCAGATTCTCCGTGAGCGGATTTGCTTCGGCGGGAAGCTCGAGGACTTCCATCGCGGTTTATTTGGTGGTCAGCAGATCAGGGCAGTGCGGGTTCAGAGCGCGGGCATTAGAGAATCTATTTGGTGGCGAAGTTCGGCCACGGGGTGGTGGTCGTCAAGCCAGCACACGCGCAGCGAAAGAAGTCGCGCCCCGCGATTACGCTTAACCCTTCTGGGACTAGCGCAACAGGGCTCCCGATGTCGCCTCAGGGCTACGTGGGTAGTTTGAAGCTATCATCCGGACGTAGATGTATATTTAATACGTCATCTCACCTTTGAAACACCAGGAATGTTTAATATTATACGTCATAGTAGCTGCAACTACCTCCGTAACAAGCTTAGATGCTAACAGAGATTACTGAGAGGTATCGCAGCTGAAGGCTAGCATGAATTTGTTTTCGCTCATGTCGTGGGCAGTTGAAGCTATCGTCCGGACGTCAATGTACAATTGTTAATTCTCCATTTACACCCGGATGTTTGCTTCAACTGCCCATATATGTTACTTTTCTTTTTCTTTCCGTTTCTGAAAAAAAATAACGGCTAGGACATGGGTACCATATATTCGAGGGTCCTACCATTCTTCGCGCTAGCTTCGGCTGCAACATCCCTCTGCCGTTACGATGGCTCAGGTCTTTTAGCAGCCACTGTGACGGGCATTGATCTTCGTCATGTCCCAATGGTCATGGGCTTTTCCGTCCGAGAGGGGCCGGCAGCCCAATCCGACTGAATCAATAGCAATCACGAGCGTCGCTTATCGCACGGACGACGGCCTTGCTGGAAAAAGAATTCGAGACCCGAAGTGCCAAATGCTTAACACCTAACCTCAGGGGGGATGGGATATCGGGTGCATTAGGAGGTGGCTGAGAGACAACGCCCTGCTGAAAGGGATGCGCCCGTCCGACCCTATCGGGGAGAGACTATAGGGCCCTAAAGCGGCGGGGCTGCGCCGGGCGGCGGACCATTCAGGCGGCGGGCTAGCTGGCGGGAAAGTGCTGCAACTTGCACCCGGAAGCAAGGTCACCAGGTTGTTTGATGGCAGCACCCGTATGCGGCAGCGTTAGACGCAGATCTCCCGCCGAAGCCCTGGAGTTGCACAAGAGCCCCCACGTGCTGGTGCTGTCATCACAGGCACGAGTCGCTGGCCGCTGTGGTGTGGCGCTGCTCATTTCCGAGCGGCCTGATCCGGGCACGACAGGGTTGACAGCCCGCACAACAGCTTCTCGAACAACTTTATCTCTGACAGAATGTTTTCCTCCGCCCACCGCGACACGAGCGCGGCGAGATGAATCGGGCAGCAGGCCCGTCCGCAGACGAAGATACTACGTGGCGCTTGCGCTTCCCCCCCAAAGCTTCCAGACGCTGCTTGCAGGCAGGGAGTACGAGGTGCAGCGCATTAGTGTGGCGAAACGCCTCAGGCAGCCTGCGAGGGACGGCAGCCGCGCAGCTAGCGCCCTGGCCAGCCAGGCGCCGCTAGACGCAAGGCCGTAAGCCGGACGCCACTATCATGAATATTTTTTTCGGTTGAGTCTTGAGTGTGTTGGTCCCATGTCTTTGGCTGCGCCCGCAACACACCGCGTGAATTGGCTCAGGAGGGGTGCAGCAGGGCCGAATGGCCGGTGAGCTGGGTGCAGGACGGCGGGCGTGTCTGAAGCAGCTCGAGCGAAGATCATGGCAGCGCAATTCGCCGTGTGTGGAGCTCGCAGGCATCGCGCGCCCTGCGACTGGCTCTCCCGCGTCCCAAATTTAGCGTCCGCCAACCGTGCCTGCCGTCGCTGCGTAAACTCGCTGTTGGCGGGTCGCTGGCACACCGGCCGCCGTTCGCGGCTGCCCGCCAGCAGCGCCTCTGCATGCACGGGGCGCCTCTGGAGCTTTGGCCACCGCTGAAGCTCTCCCCCTACCGCCCGCCGCGCGAGTACAATATCTGGCCAGCTGCCAACTTCCCTCTGCTCCTCTGCATCTCCTCTTCTTTTCTTGCATCACCTTGACTCATCCCGCAGCGGAGGCCCGATCGTCACTGCGACCGCCCCGTCAATCCCACTTCCAAACGCTCGCTCAAGTACGCCCCGCCCCCTCCTCCCCTCACTCGCCCATTCGTCATTCCTCCTGAAACGCCGAGCTGACTTCTTCCGCCCGCAAACTCAGACTCTGCCCTTACCCTTTCTCTTCACAACACGATCACAATGGCCTCTCGCATCAAGGACGCTCTCCCCTCCCACCTCAAGCCCAGCAGCGCCGAGGATGGCTTTGGCAGGCACCATGGCAAGACCCAGTCGCACATGGTAAGTCTGCACTCCAATCCGCCCCCCAACCAGCAGCGTGTCGATTCGGCGTGCGTCCGAATCATCCTGGAAACGGCCTACCGACCGGCTACGCTCAATGGATCTCCGGCAGCGGCGGCAGATGGCCTTCGTCGGATGAGCCTTCGAGCGAGCCACCGAGTGGCCTCACCACCGAAGCCCCTCAACACCATCTCCACACGTCATTGATCTGCATCGGTGGCTCACGCAACGACGGCCTCCGGGTCGTGGTGGCACATTCTCGAGACCTCGCCCATGGACCGCCGGCGTCTGGACAAACAGGGGCGGCAGAACGAGGCAGCATCCGATGGAAATTTCGCGATGTACGCTTGCCCAACAGGCGGAACGCTCTGCTTGCTTCCTGTGTGTTCACGAGCGCCCCCCTGGGCACGGATCGAGCACCAGAGCCCCACTTTTAAACGTGGGAGTCCCCTGGAGACCGCCCCTATCCCTGCTGCTTTAGGCTCGCCGTCGATTGTTTAGTCCAGGATCACGCTTCTGAGCAAAAGCTCTGTGACGCTTCGGACAGACATAGCTTTATCCAGGATTGCACACGCTGGATCGGACACGCTGCTGGCACCATGTCGTCTTCCCACTTGCGTAAAGATGCTAATACTACTGACGTGAAGGCTTTCGAGAACACCTCGACGTCTGTTGCTGCCTCTCAGATGCGCAATGCCCTGAACAACCTCGCCGATACCGTCAAGGACCCCGCCGAGAAGCAGGTACGTCGAATACTATGCCATACAACGGAGCGAGATAATGACTAGTTTGGCAACAGCGGTTCGAGACGGAGATGGACAACTTCTTTGCCCTCTTCCGTCGCTACCTGAACGACAAGGCCAAGGGCAACGCGATTGAGTGGTCCCGCATCGCTCCTCCGAAGCCCGAGCAGGTCGTCAGCTACGCCGACCTGCCCAACACCGAGTCCGTCGAGTTCCTCAAGAAGCTCGCCGTTGTCAAGCTCAACGGTGGTCTTGGTACCTCCATGGGTTGCGTTGGCCCCAAGTCGGTCATCGAGGTCCGTGACGGCATGTCTTTCCTTGACCTGTCGGTCCGTCAGATCGAGTACCTGAACAGGACTTATGATGTGAACGTTCCTTTCGTTCTCATGAACTCGTTCAACACCGACGCCGACACTGCCAACATCATCAAGAAGTACGAGGGTCACAACATCGACATCATGACCTTCAACCAGTCCAAGTACCCCCGTGTGCTCAAGGACTCGCTCCTCCCCGCTCCCAAGTCGGCCGACTCTCAGATCTCCGACTGGTACCCTCCGGGCCACGGTGACGTTTTCGAGTCGATGTACAACTCTGGCATCCTCGACAAGCTGATCGACCGCGGCATCGAGATCATCTTCCTGTCGAACGCCGACAACCTCGGCGCCGTCGTCGACCTGCGCATCCTGCAGCACATGGTCGAGACCGAGGCCGAGTACATCATGGAGCTGACGGACAAGACCAAGGCCGATGTCAAGGGTGGTACCATCATCGACTACGAGGGCTCTGTCCGTCTTCTTGAAATCGCTCAGGTGCCCAAGGAGCACGTCAACGAGTTCAAGTCGATCAAGAAGTTCAAGTACTTCAACACCAACAACATCTGGCTCAACCTCAAGGCCATCAAGCGTGTTGTTGAGAACAACGAGCTTGCCATGGAGATCATCCCCAACGGCAAGAGCATTCCGGCCGACAAGAAGGGCGAGGCCGACCTGTCTGTGCTCCAGCTCGAGACTGCCGTCGGTGCCGCCATCCGCCACTTCAACAACGCTCACGGTGTGAACGTTCCCAGGAGGCGCTTCCTGCCGGTCAAGACGTGCTCTGACCTCATGCTGGTCAAGTCGGACCTGTACACTCTGCAGCACGGTCAGCTCGTCATGGACCCCAACCGCTTCGGCCCTGCGCCCCTCATCAAGCTCGGCTCGGACTTCAAGAAGGTGTCGAGCTTCCAGTCGCGCATTCCTTCGATCCCCAAGATTGTCGAGCTTGACCACCTGACGATCACGGGTGCGGTTAACCTCGGCCGTGGCGTCACGCTGAAGGGCACCGTCATCATCGTCGCGACGGAGGGCCAGACGATCGACATTCCTCCGGGATCGATCCTGGAGAACGTGGTTGTCCAGGGTAGCTTGCGCCTGCTGGAGCACTAGAGGGTGAGCGGTGAAAAAAAATCAACGGGTAGATTGGACCACGTAAAGTGGAATGAGAAACGCTGCATATGGCATGCAGACGGAAGTACATGTTGGCGAATGCTCTTTTTTAGTCTAGTGCACGTTTAATAGAAGCATGATGAACGGTAACGGTTGTGCAACTTGTGTGTGAGGCGTGGTTGACTGCATGCGGTGGAGCGTGGGGAGGAGGCGGGGCGGGCCGCGGTGATGTCAGTGGGGTGGGCGGATGCCTTGGAGGCTCAGTCATCGTGGCCGTGGCTCAGTGGCCCGACGTGACGCAGGCGGGCGCAGGCAGAACCCAGGCAAATAGGCAGGCGCCGGAATGCAGAGAATGCAGGTGATGGGCGGCGGCGCAATCGGGGTGCGCAGGCGTGCATCGTGCGAGCCGGTAAGCCCTATAAACGGCGGCCGGCACCCAAAGCCAGGCGTGAGCCCGCTCAGCGCTCCCGCCCGCGCAAGTCCAGTGCCAGCAGCGCACGCGGAACTGGAGCCAGCCTCCTCCGCGCGATTGACCGCGACCCGCTGATCGCCCCACGCGCCTCGTCTCCAGCGCGCCGAGCGGCCCTTGCAGCCCCGGGGTCAACCACCTACCTCGATTGCGCCCAGCTTCCCAGCCCTCAGTATACAGTACATGCGCGCATGCATCCAAGTGCGTCGGCATGGCTGACACCACCTCCACCACGCCCGACGCCGCCACGAAAGAAGCGCAGCAGTTCTGGGGCTATCTCTTCCGCCCTGACAAGTGCGGCACCGACCTTCTCAACCGCTTTCTCGAGGGCATAGCAATCTATGTGGTGCGCGCCCTCCGCTCACAGCTCCCCGCCGCGCAAACTGACCAATAGATCCCAGGCCGCCCATTTCGGGCCCACCGAGGACTGCGCGGACATCACGCCCACCCAGCTCGCCGGCTTCTACAAGGCCGTCGGCGGCGACTATGACGTTCTCTTTATCGATACGCCCGCCCCCTCCGTTGCCTTCATTTACAAGTCGCTTGGATGCCTACATTCGCTGCAGCCAGGCCCAGACTCCGACGGCTACAGTATTCCAACCGTACCAGCGCTCAAGCGCAAGGGCTTCATAACATGGCAAACCATCCAGCTGCTGCTCGGTCCGGACGAGCATGTGCCGTTCCTGCAGGGCGCTGTAGAGCACTTCGACATCGTTGACCCTGGCACCGGCAAGGTCTTCCCCAAGCTGCTACCCAAGGAATCATTTCCAGAGAAGCCTGACGAGGACATGTTACGTTGGTACGAGAGCGTGTCAAACCGCTTGCGCGAGGAATGCGAGGCCGAGGAGCAGCAGCAGCAGCGCACTCGGGCGCGCCGGCCAGGACCGCCTGGCACCGGTGCCGATATTTTTGACAGCGATGCGTCCAACGACGAGCACTCTGCTGACGAGCGTACCGGTGCAGCTGCTTACTTTCGGAACCCGCTATATCGTGATCGCGGCGGTCGTCCCACCATAATCCGCCGCTTCTCCCGCGCTGACTACAAAGCTCGGTCTCCCCGCGAGTTTGTGCAGGACCGCGGCCGTTTGGTCGCCGATACCATAAGCCGCCACCTTCGGACGCCTTGGAGCAGGTCTGACAAGCACGAAAAGCGCCGGAAGAGTCTTTCCGACAGACCCAGCACTTCCCCGTATTCTGAAGACGGAGTAGGCGACTACGATGACGATGCGGAGCCTACCCCCACAGGCCCGCCTCCGAGGTATTCGCATCACGCTCATGGATCCTCCAGCCCCAAGCCGCATGCTTCGCATAGGCAAAGAAATGGTCGGCGAAGAGGCAGTTTCCACTCGTATCACAGTGAAAGTTCTTCCGACTCTGAGGATATCCGCCGCTCTTCTGAACGTCTGCCAAAAGACCCTCGAATGCGCCCAAATCATCACGTTCCGCTTCGCCATCGCCGTAGTCACTCTCCACCCTCCTCACCACGTGAGTATTTCCCGCCGTATGGCGAATATACTACCCATGGGAGGAGGTATAGCCACAACAACCATGGAATGTACCCGTACACGCATGTATCAAACACGCACAGGCGCACAGACTCCGATCCCCCGCTTCGTGTTCCCAAGGAGCGCAGGGATCGGGCTGAAAGAAGCAGTCCACGCGAACGTGAGCATCACAGCCGTGACCGTGAGCGCGATCATGAGCGTGCAGACAGAGAAAATACACGCCCGAGCCCACGTGAACCCCGAGATCCTCGCGAGCAATTTGTCCCATCGTCCTCTGCCACCCCACCGACCCCGCCACCAATCAAGACTTACTCGGGTACCAACCTATCGGCTTTAGGGAACAGCCATAACTCGTCCCGGCCCAGCCCGAGCGGTTTCAAGCCAACCACCGAGCCGCTCTTCGCAACTCAAGTGGCACACCTCCAACCTCCGCCCACCCAACTGGGTCCGAATGGCCCTAGTGTCCCAACCGGGCCCGTTCAAGGCAGTCCCATAACCGGGCAATTCCCCCGTTCTGCGTACTACGGCGATCATCTTGCTCAACCACACGGCCGACGGCCAAGCTATCCGCCGCGCGGTGTCTCCGCTACAGGCGTGGATCGAATGCCACTCCCTGCCAGAGCTCAGAGCGTGCGCTATCCCGGTGCAGCGTCACCACGCTGGGCCGGTAGCAGAAATAGTAGCATCGAAAGAGATGCACCCTTCAGAGAGTCGCGAAGAGACAGACACAGCGGGCACAGATATGTGCAGGGTGTCGGCGGTTCGTTAGATGGGGTGGGCGGGCGGAGATACCCGGTTGAAGGACGCTATTGATAGAGGCAAGATCGGGGGGAATGCTTGACTGTTTTCCGCTTTTTATGAAGGGTACTAGGGTTTCGTAATCTTGCGGTAAGGCTCTCGGAATGACGGAAGCTGAAGGACCCTTGACACGATAATGACGAGTGCTTCTAATGCAGCTCACGAAGCGACTGTGACGACGGAACGAAGGCACATAACAGGCGTGTCTGGATCATGGATGACTATCAAGGTTTGTGCTACGGCATGATTCATCACCACTTCTTCTTGACTGCATCTTCATATCATTAAATTTTCCTTCTCGTTCCAATATCTTTCTTCTATCGCCATTTCTCTTCTTTTCGGCAAACATTTTCATAAGGCATCTGATACCAATTAGCAGTTGACTTCATCTTGGTAAGACGAGAGATTCTTCTTTTTTTCGGCAAAGCGTCCACAGAGACAAGGACCATAGCGAGCATGGCGTTCTTTTTTTTTTTTATGGTGTTTCTTTTATCACACGGTTTTGAGCGCACGTTTGGGTACTTGAGATTTGTATCCCGCATGCGGATTTGGGGATTCACCAATTGGAAGGAACGAAGAGAAGGTGGACGTTACCCACGTGTAATAGCTTCTAGCCTCACGGCCCAACATACGTATGTTCTCTTTATCTATGTATGAGGAAGATGGCTCTCAGCTTTCCGGTGGTTAATCGACTGCGAAATTGTGTGGTGTGCTAAGTGACAGTACGTGTATGGATTTTTGTCTTCCATGCAATTCAAGATGTGAGACGTAGTTAAAGGAAGTACCCTTCTCCAGTGAAGCTCCCGAGGAGTAGCATTGGGTAATTAGATTTCGATTACGTAGAAATGCAGAGATCACACCCCAAAGCCACGCTTTTCCCCAGCCCAAACACAACCATGGTATACGCTGCACGCTTTTCATGCAAGATTCGGCAATTGAAGTATTGAACAAGGTTGTTTTTTTATGAACAAGTGCAAACTACATATGTTGGTACGCAAGGAGTCCCACTTGCTGTAGGGTGTCTCTGGAGAGCAAGAAGTGAGAACTATGAAGGTCCTATCTTTTTTGCAACTTTGAATGATCTGCCGAGGCAGAGCTGTACATCCCAGCCCACAATCTACTTTGCCACAAGACGCAACAAAAGCAGACTGCTCCCCGTAAGAGGACTTGTGACGACTCCGAACGGAGCAAGTAGCCGGTATACAGTTGCGTTGAGAAATTCGAGGGAGGGCCGACGGCACTGTTGTCAACAATGCAGCCCAGGTATCAAGCAAGCCGCCAGCTGGAAACACATGTAGTGCGCCATTTGCACTATGCCAGCTGACCAGCGAGCGGGGAATCGAGGCGCCGCCTGTGCCTTGAGAGGTGAAGCAGCAAGGCGATGTGTGATGGGGTGAGAAAAAACGCGAGGCGGTCGCGCCGGGGCTGTCGCGCTAATGCCCGCTAGCGCGTGGCTGACTCAGCTGCCTTCCGTCATTCTCTTTGTAGCTTCGCCAAGCCGCAGCAACGACCTTTACCCTCGACCACGCGCGACGACCGCCTCCATCCGCACCACGCGCGACTCGACAACTCCGCATCGCCGGTTTGCGTCGCATTAGTTCCCTGCTTCTGCTCCCCCAACTTCCGAACGCGCCGACACCATGGGCAAGAAGAAGAGAAACCACCCCGACGTCGAGGAGATCCTCAACCGCCCGTGGTGCTACTACTGCGAGCGCGACTTCGACGACCTCAAGATCTTGATCAACCACCAGAAGGCCAAGCACTTCAAGTGCGAGAAATGCGGTCGCCGCCTGAACACCGCTGGAGGTGAGCCCCCACAGTCCCTATCGCGGATTGAACTGACGCATTGTAGGTCTCAACGTCCACATGACGCAGGTCCACAAAGAGACTCTCACCCAAGTTGAGAATGCGCTGCCCAACCGCCAGGGCCTCGACTTCGAGATCTTCGGCATGGAAGGCGTCCCCGAAGATGTCATGCAAGCCCACCAACAACGCGTCCTTCAGCAGTTCTACGAGCAGCAGGCTGAACGCCGCGCCGCCACCGGCAACCCTCCGCCCGGCTCCACGCCCACTGGTGGCGCGCCGCAGCCCAAGAAGCCCAAGGTTGAGACGAAGGAGGATCTCAAGGCTCGCTTGGCTGCCCACAAGGCAAAGAAGGCTCAGGAGGCAGCTGGAGGAAGCAGTGGAGACGTCACCCCGCTCGGACAAGGTGGCCAGAGTCCGGCCGTAGCTCAGAGTCCCACAGCATTTGTGAGTGCCCCCAGCCATTCCTATTGCTGTCAAAGATCAATGCAGACACTGACCGAGTCACACCATGTAGCCCGGTGCCCAGCAGTACCCCCCGCAGCAGATGTCTTTCTCGAGCCCACCTGCCAACCCAGCTCAAGCCGCTTACGCGCAGCCTTACGGTCAGCCCGGTTACTCCCCGTCACAGGCTTACAACCCCCAGCCCTTCCCTCAGCAGCCTGGCTATGGTGCTCAGCCGTTCAGCCCTAACGCATCTTCCCCCTTCCCAGGCCAGCCTTTCGCCCAGCCCGGCGCTCAGCCGTTTCAGTCTCCGTTTCAAGCTGGTCCGCCTCGTCAGCAGAACTCGGGCTCGCCGCCGGTGACCCTGCCCTACGGCGCACACCAGCCTCCGAGTCGCACCCCGCCGAACAACGGCCACCCTCCGCCCAGGCAGGGAAGCTTGCCTGCTGCGCCTGGCCTGCCCCAGCGCCCGGCTTTCGGTGCTCCGCAGGTCAACCAGTACCAGCTGCAGCAGATGCACCAGGGACACGTCCCGCCTTCCGTCACCGGTCACCCTGCGTCCGCTCAGCCCAATGGTCACGCCACACAAGTTCCGCAGAGCTCGATTCCCGGCCTCGAGCAGTCTGTTGATGATCTCATTGCCAGTGCTGGCAAGTTGAGTGAAGCTCCCAAGACTGCTGAGTCCGAGCGTGCGAAGAAGGACGAGGAGGCCCCCAAGGCCAAGAAGGAAGTCAAGCTTGTCTACTCTGATGGCGAAGTGAGCCCGGAGGAGAAGATGGCGAAGCTAGCCAGGTACGCATTTAATCCCGCCGAGAGACAACAGGATGAGAAGGTGGTTGGCTCGCTTGAACCCCCCGTCACTGGCGTGGTTACTGGACAAGATGACGTACACGACCCATCGGGATAGGTATTTCTTCGGTGCGGCTTCTCAGATGTTCGCTTGTGTCTTCCGCCACAAGTGAGCAGGGGTTGGGCCACGGACGAAAAGCCACAACCAGCAAGATTCACAGCACTTGGCCCTTTTCTGGTACAGCTGAGCCGCTACTTTCTTCGACATGATTTTTTTGCGCACAACTTCGGCGGCCGGCTGCAGGAGATGGACAAAATCAGCTGAGAACAGCTAAGTTTGCTGGCATTGCGTTCCTTCCGACATGCTGTTCTAACCACGGCCGAGGGTTTACTTGCACGATCACGCGGCGATAAGGAACACGGCGAACGTAGACGGCACTCCATTACAACAACTGCATAAAAGAACATCGTCGGTTAGTCTTCACAAAATCTGTCCCTTTGGGCAGAGGCTGATGATCGACTGTGGTCCAGCTACGGACGGCGGCGCTTATGGCGTTTCGGCGACGAGAGCGAGCTCCTTCATATTCCCATCTCTTTTTTTCCTTCCCCACATGTAAGTCTTAAAAACGGTTGGTTCCTTTCCATAGCTTCTCTCGTGCTTTGCTGGCGCCAGAGCCTCTGCAGGGACTTCCACCAATTGGAGCGGGCTGCATCCCACACCGTGAGTGACATTTCTTCATTTGGTGCAATGCTTGTTCTTGAATCTCCAACCGCGATTGGCGCTTCCGGCGCGCGGTCTCGGGTAACCATTATCTTTGTTCCTTATGTCCGAGCCACTTTTTCAGTCTCAGAATAGGTTTGTTGTATTTGCTCTTCCCAACATTAAACCCCTTATGTTCTCAGCCGTGGCAATCGATACGTAAATATTGGGTATATCTGCATATATCATAACAAGAACGTATTTAGACTTGAGGATCCCCTCTGCATGCTGCTTGGTGCGTGCCCTGCCATTGGTACCCTGGGCATCCGTTGGGAGACTTAGTCTTCCGGTTCTGCAATTTAGTGCAGTGCAGTAGATCCTTGCTTCCGGTGTCTTCTCTTGCCCACGGAAACTTCGCGGTCCAATATTCAACGCCGAGATTGTGGATCTGTACAGAATGCAGCACAGCGGCCGCGGTATGCCATGTTCCAAAACGAGTTCATCGTGTGGTTGAAGCATAGTATGGGTTTCGTGATTCTTGACTTCATTCCTCTTTTTAACTGATGTACATTGTAAACGTCCCAATCCCGTTCCTGATTCAACACTAGTCTCCTATATCAATCCCACTTAGACCCAGGCTAGACCCCAACGTGGAGTTCAGTTCCTTCTTCTTCGTCGCCTGTTTATCCGTTAGGTATTAGCGCCTTCTGCCCCAAGAAAGGGAAAATAAGGAGAGAGAAAGATGAGAACATGAACCATGGGTGGACGGTACCAATGCGAACCCGGCCGCCAAACCAATTTACCCAAAAATCACAAATGTGTAACCAATTGTGGCGGACGAAGAGGGTTGCACAAGGCATGATGACCATAGCCAAAAGGCTAAGCAGCGCCAGTGTGGCTTCGGTAGACCATTCCGGATCGTTGCTGTTTGAACGTTGAGCACGTCGGTTAAGTGGGGCTGAGGTCGAAAGAAAGGGCATGGCGACTATGCCGTAACCACTGCCTGAGGCTATCTCCAGACCATAAATTACTTAGTATATTATCCACATTGTTCTCTTTGTTTTACATACTAGTGATTATGAAATCTCGGGTGTGGGTGCCTTTCTTTTGTGTAGTGACATGCGGTGTCAGTGTCGGTAAGTTGTAACGGTAGGCTCCTTCCACTAGCCTTTCGCCTGGTAGGTCGAGTGAACCGTAGGGTTTACCTTGAATAGACAAGAGTAGGGTGACAATGATTAGACAAGTGAAGTATCACGTAGTTGTGCGATGCACAGTGAGCCGGTTACCCCTAAACCAATAGGTTTGGATTAGAACTTTGAGTTAACCACGGAGAGTCAAGTGTCTAGCTAGGAGTGTGTCTATATACTGTTGGGAAGCTAGTTACAATTAGGTGTGAGGTTGGATCATAGTGATCCTAGTGGGTCTTTGGATCAGGACTTTGGATCAGGACTGATCCATGGTGGGGTACGTGACCCGGGCGCTTGGGGCACCTTTCCGACATCCGGGATTTGACTTCGCCGAGCGGTCGTGATGTCGACCTGTATCTTGCCCGTTTCCCTCGTGTGTCTACTTTCCGGCTTCCTGCCTTCTTGCGCTAACGCGGGAGGATTATCCGCCTAGACCATCGGCCCTCGCTTTTGCTTTGTGGGCTCTCGTCCCGTCGTCATATCTTCTTTTTCCTCTTTCGATAATTTCGTTTCCGCCTCTGCTGATTGGTTTAACTTCCTGCCGGTATACTTCTATCTCTTCTTACGTGGAAAAACAAATTGAGGACACAGGCTTGTCCACAAACATTTATGGCGGAACCTTCAGGATCAGGCGTGAAATACCAGAGGCACTCACTCGCTATACTTCAAGCCCCGAATTTCAGATAGCCGCTTGCCGCCGATTCGTTCTGCTGGATCGAAGTAGAAACATACTGATGTTCAACTGTACTGAACCGCGTAATTAGCACTTATTAGAGATTTCATTAAGAAAATATATATGTATCAATCGTATGATTCAAAAAAAAAAAAAAGTGACGGCTGACAGCTTTCGATTCTTGAGAAAGAATTTAGAACTCAAAAACCAAATGTTGTATTATAATTTGCAGATCTCACATCTGCATTAACACACGAAGTTTATCTGGCTATAAATTTGGCTCGCTATTCTGAGAGAAGCCCGAACTTTCGAGGCAACGAAAAAGACACAGTTCAAACCTGTATTGCTGGTGCATTGGGCCTCAATCGTAAGAATTGTATCGACGTAAGTATGTCAAGCAAATAGATATCCTGGAAAACTACGTAAAGATCATCCCGAGCCAGCATTGGTCAACGGGGAAGCTTACAAAATATCTACGTTTCTTGATATGTCGAGTTCTATCTGGTCTATCTTGTCTCTGTTGCACCCGGCCTTCTCTTTCCCTAGCTCGAAAAAGATTAAGAACTGGACATCCATCCCAAGAAACATAAGCCTACAATCCCCGCAAAAAAACACTTCACACCTTCTCCTCGGCTAGCGCCTTGAAGCCGGCGGCGAGGTCATCCCTCAAATCCTCCCAGTTCTCGGCGCCGATGGAGAAGCGGAGCAGGGTGGGCTCGACGCTCTTGTCGCTCATGCGGCGCCACTCGATCAAGCTCTCGACGCCGCCCAAGCTGGTGGCGTGGTGGAAGAGGTGGAGCTTGCTGGGCAGCCTCTTCGCATATTCCTTATTCTTCATCCACAGGGCGAAGACGGGGCCGAAGCCGTTGGGCATCTGCTTCTTCAGCCAGCCCTGCTCCAGGTCCTGCGTCTGCAGGCTCGCGTGAACGACCTTCTCCACCGTGGCGGCGACGGGGCTCCCTGCGGTGGAAACGTTCTCGTGCAGCCACTTGACGAGGCGCTCGGCGTTCCTGCTCTGGGCCTGCACGCGCAGCTGCAGGGTGCGCAGACTCCGCACGCCGAGCCAGCCCTCGAGGCTGCCCATGACGCTGCCGAGGAAGACGCGCTCGTTCCACAGGCCCCAAAACCAGTCTTCACGCGACTTCGGCACGGCGAGTACGCCGCACAGCATGTCGCTGTGGCCGCCGATGTACTTTGTGCCGCTGTGCATGACGACGTCGGCGCCCAGCGCAAACGGGTCCTGCAGGCCCGGCGGCGCGAAGGTCGAGTCGACGGTCAGGAAGGCGCCGCGGGCGTGGGCCTTCGCCGCCAGCGCCGCGATGTCGTAGGCCTCGCCCGTCGGGTTCAGCGGCGTCTCGACGTGCACAACGTCGCCTTTGCCCAGGCCCAGCTCGTCCCACGTGCGCTCGTCGTGCAGATCGGCCAGCTTCAGGCCGTGCATCTTGGTGTGCAGCGCCAGCACGCCGTGGCAGCCGTGGTAGCCGCCCAGCTTGTCGTGCCCGATGGCCACGACGTTCGGCCGGAAGTAGACCATCAGCGCGTGGAAGGCCGACAGGCCCGACGAGTATGTCAGCGCGCGCCCGCCCAGCAGCTCCGACAGCAGCGCCTCCAGCCGCGTCGTGTTCGGCGCCGACAGCCGGCTGTAGATGGGCGGGAAGTCGGTCGACGCGGGCGGCCCGGTGGCCTCGGTGCTGGCCTCCAGCTCGTCCGGGTCGCGGCTGTAGCGGAACGTCGTCGACACGTGCATGGCGGGCGCCACGTCGGCGCCCTTGTTGAGCCAGTCATCGCCGTGGATGGCCAGCGTGGCCGGGTCGTAGGTCGTGGGAGGCGCCATTGCGGCTCTGTCGAATTGGCCGAGATGGGAAGACGCCAATGGATTGATCGGCAACGGGAGGCTTGAACGGCGGCTATTAGAGCGCTACCGGTGGCGGAAGAAACAACAAGCGTGGTGCATGCTGAGAAACAGTGAGCATCAGTCAATGAGTGGGTTGATGGCGAGATTTAGACGTGCTTGAGGCTGCGCTTCTGCCCCACTGCTCAATGACGGAATCGCATGACTCATCTGGCCACGACCACCCGGCCAATGGGAAAAGCCACGTCGGGCTGGCGATGCGGATTGCCGGTGGAGCGGGACCTGACTTGCGCCCCGTCGAGAGGGGCAGTGGTGTTGAGGCCACCCATCATGCGAGATCAGCACAGCACGCGCGGGGAGCCGCCCGTCGCGTCAGGGCATGCGAACACATGCGAAAGCCTTCAGAAAAACACAGCACATGACAGCAGAGATCGAGTTGTTATTCGGCACCTGGATCGCTACTAGTCTAACCGCCACTTTTTGCTGCTACCCCGCAGCCCCGCTGACTGCCCCTCACTAGATGCTTCAACGGGCCAACCCAGCTGCTCATCAACTCATAAGACCATCATCAAAGGAAAAGCAAGCCATTTACAGCTGGCCAGACTTGACGATGGTGGGGGCCTTCTTGTACTTGATGGCGCCAGAGCCGCTGCCGCAGGCCTCGATGGCCTTGACGACCCTGTACGACTCGACGTCACCCTCGGGGACGGTGCCGAAGACGACGTGCTTGCCGTCGAGCCACGAGGTGACGACGGTGGTGACGAAGAACTGCGAGCCGTTGCTGTGGCAAATGGGTTAGCGCCTGTCTCAATTGGGCGGTGCGGGGCAATGTCTCCTTACGTGTTGGGGCCAGCGTTAGCCATCGACAGGAGGAAGGGCTTCTGGTGCTGGAGCTTGAAGTTCTCATCGGCGAACTTCTCGCCGTAGATGGACTTGCCGCCGGTGCCCTGCGCTGCCGTCAGTATACCCAGCGACGCGACGATGACGCCATCGGCTTTGTAGGGGAGTACGCACGTTGCCGCGGGTGAAGTCACCACCCTGGAGCATGAACTGGGGGATCACGCGGTGGAACTTGGAGCCCTGGTAGCCGAAGCCCTTCTCGCCAGTGCACAGGGCGCGGAAGTTCTCGGCGGTCTTGGGGACGACATCGTCGAAGAGATCGAAGTTGATGCGACCGGACTGCTCCTTGACGGCGCCGGTGGAGGTGACGTTGCCCTTGGCGTCGACCTGGACCTCGGGGCCCCTGGAGAGATGCGGTCAGCAACACGTCGCAGCCAATGCGGAGCGGTGACAACCTACTCCCACTCGCAGTCGAACTGTAGGCGGCGGTTAGCGACAGCAGCAGAGGGTGCGAGGGTGTGCGCGACGTACGAAAACCTTGACAGTCATGTTTGCTGATGAAGCGTGGAAGTTTCTAATGGAAGAGGGGGAAGATTGGGGGAAGCGGTGGAGTGGTGTGTTGAAGAAGAAGCGGGAGGAGGGGCCCTTGGAGGGGTAGAAAATACGTGGAACGGAGCAGCCCCGCCTCGGGAGGAACGCGGCCATGGTCTGCTGTGCTTCGGGTTTAGCGGCTAGGGCACGTGAGGAGAAAAGTGAGACGCCTTGGGCTGTTGCGCGACGCCTGCGGAGGGCTGTGCCTGCCTCCGCAAGCTCTGCCCTAATGCACATCCGTCGTCATGGTGGGGAACGCGAGGCTGACCAAGCCTGCGAGTCCGAGGAGGACGACGGTGGCTGCGGGCGATCGGAGAGCTCAGAGCTGGCTGGAGCTCCCCCAGGCGCAGCAGCCCGGCAGTGGGAGGGGCAGCACACCTACCGATGCGGCGAAGGACGCTCTTGATGCGTGCGAGTGCGTTGGACGGAGCTCAGTGGAGCTTGCGGCGGGCGATTGAGGGCAATTGGCGGCGCTGGACGGCTAGCGATGGGTGAGAAGCGTCGAGCTGCGCTTCTCAGAAGACTGGCAGAGCACTGACGCAGCCGATGGCATCGCCGGCGCCAAGCAGAATTCCAGAGCAAGTCACGTGCCGTCCGCGTTCCGCTTTCCCAACGCTGACCCGGCCAACACGTCTGCGGGGTGCCCGCACGCTGCGCTCGCCGCTCCATTGCTCACCGCTCTACTCGAGTGATCGGATGAAAAATCACGTGCAGAGTCGAGGCTCTGGTGTCGGCCGGGCGCAGCCAGGGTGTGGTGCCGGGAACGGCGGTCGGGCACCCAAGGACCGGCTGAGCGTCGCTGAGAGCGCGAAAAGGCCACTTTTGAGACGAGATCCAGACACCGAAAGGCGAATTACCTGGCTCCCTGATTCATACAGTTGCAGCAGGTGCCCAGAGAATTGTTCACCACCATCTGACGCTGCGTGGGCGTGCTCGAGACCTTCCGAGTTTGCGGCAAGTTCGGGTGTCTCTAACCCTTCCAACCCTGGAAGCACTTGCCAAGGCCATCTACTGCCCCGGGGAAAGCACCACAGCACGCTGCGAACTGTCCTCCTACCACACCACCGTTTCCGCAAAGCCCACCAGCCGCCGCTGAGCCCGCGCCCAAGATGGATCTCGACAGCCTCAAGGACAAAGTGAGCAACCTCACGCTCTACGACCTCAAGGCCGGCGTGCGCAAGGTCCAGAATGGTATGCGACATCTGTCCGGACGCCAACGCGCAAGAGAACCGGATGGCTAACCACCAGCCCAGCGGTCATGAACTATACCGAGATGGAGGCGAAGGTGCGCGAGGCTACTAACAACGAGCCTTGGTGAGCAACCCGCCCGCAGCTTTGCCTTGACACCGTTGCTGACCTCTCTCCAGGGGAGCATCTTCGACTCTGATGCAGGAGATCGCGAATGGAACCTATAACTAGTCAGTCCTCCCGCATAGCCTTAACATTCGCCGCGCATGCTAAACGACGCATCAGCCAGCTGCTCAACGAGATCATGCCCATGATCTACAAGCGTTTCACCGAGAAGTCAGCGGAGGAGTGGCGGCAAATCTACAAGGTGCGCGTTCACTGCCCAATCACTCCACCTCAATGCTGATGGGAAGATAGGCTCTCCAACTGCTCGAGTTCCTGATCAAGAATGGCTCCGAGCGTGTCATCGACGACGCACGATCCCACCTCTCGCTTCTCAAGATGCTGCGCCAGTTCCACTACATCGACATGAACGGCAAGGACCAGGGTATCAACGTGCGCAACCGAGCAAAGGAGCTGGGCGAGCTGCTTAGCGATGTTGACCGCATCCGTTCAGAGCGCAAGAAGGCCCGCGCTACCCGCAACAAGTACACTGGCGTTGAGGGCGGTGCCGGTATGGGCTTCTCTTCCAACAACCGCTACAGTGGCTTCGGCAGCGAGACTGGTGGCTACAGTGGTGGCGGTGATTACGGAGGTTTCAGTGGAGGTGTCTACGGTGACGGCGGTGGCTTCGGCGGCGAGAGAGACAGCGGATACCATGGCTCGGGCAGCAGGCGGGATAGGTTCGAGGAGTACGATGAGTACGATGAAGGTGCGGTTGCAGCTCCCGGCAGGCGACAGGCCGACACGCAGCGGGCTGGTGTTAGAAGGGAGACCAGCGGCGGCGCTGCCAGCAAGAAGAAGGAGGAGCCTCCCAAACCCAAGCAGCCTGAAGTTGACCTCTTCTCCTTCGACGATCCCGAACCCGTCCCTTCAGCGTCCAATGGCAAGGCCCCCGCCACCAGCTCCGCTGCGGACGATTTTGGCGCCATGCAATCCGGAGGTGCAGACGACGACGATTTCGACGACTTCCAGTCTGCCACTCCGGCTCCCGCCGCCGCTCCAGCAGCAGCAGCGCCTGCCCCTGCAGCTGGCGGTTTCGGCGTTCTCACTCCTCCGCCCACCGCGCCATCTGCCCAGCCAACCCAGTTCGCCGCACCACAGCCGCGTTCGGGTGCCCAGGCATCCAACATCAACGACCTGTTCTCCTCCATCCACTCGCCCACGGGCAGCATCTCTTCCGCGCGCCAGACCCCGGCCGCCACCGCCTCCTCCGCCTTCGCTCCGCCGCCCGCGCAGCAGCAGCCCGCCGGTTACGTCCCCAACCAGCCCAACTACTTCACTTCGGTGCCGGCTGCGTCAGGTCTTGCAACTCAGCAGACGGGCGGCAGCCTCGGCGGCAAGGGATCCACGCCCGGCGTCCTGTCCCCAACGGGCAGCATCGGCGGCGCCAAGAAACCCGCCGGCGGCGACGCCTTCTCCGACCTGCTCTCCGGCATGGGCACGAAGAAGCCCGCCCAGTCGCAGCCCAAGGTCACCATGGCGGACCTGGCCAAGCAAAAGACGAGCAGCGGTCTGTGGGGCGCGCCGGCCGCCGCCTCTCCCACGATGCCTGCGGCTGGTGCTCCGCCGCAGGGCCAGAAGACCGGTAGCAGCGGGTTGGACGACCTTTTGGGTTGAGAAGCAGGTGGGAAAGAGCTTGGCCTAGCCAACGCATACTGACGATATGTGAAAGTGTAATGGCCGTTACATGAGGAAAAATCAGTTAGAATGAATGTTCTTTTTTTTTTTGTGCTTGGTTGTTGGCAGCATAGGTGCTGTTTCTTGTTTTTCGTTTCCTGCCTCATTGGGATCAGGCGGCGTGGAGCAGCATAAAAGATACGAGACCAGGGGGACAACTGCATTTCTGCTTCGTTGGCTTTTGGGTTTATGAAGTGTATATAATTGCTCGAGATTGATGACTATTTCTTCGCTTTCGGTTTTGCTCTCTTTATGGCGAAGTGATGTCGAGTAAGACCGCGGTTCAGAGGTCGAGGGAATGGAAAGGAGCAAGATAACGGGGTCTGTACTCTGGCATTGCCGTGAGCGTTGTGGATATGCACCCTTTTCGGAATACTGGTTACTCGTTTCTTTCTCATGGGTACAGTGGTAAATGCCAGCTGTTGGCTGTCTTTCATGAATATAATTTTAAAGATGACGTTGGGAAATTTGTCAGTGCTCCTTGCTACTTCCAGCTATTTTATGTTAAATTGTAGGATAAACACTTTCTACCCTAGGCCGTTGGACGGCTTGTACGGCTAAGATTCCACAATGAGCGAGATGAGCGTATTGGGAGAAAAGCGCTGGAAAATGAAGTGGCGTTCTCGACCGGGGCATTTGCTGCTCCAGCTGGGTGTTTGGGAAATCATATGGAAATCCACGTCCAATGTTATAAAATTGCTTGACAATATATGGATAGATAACGCGTATATAGGGTGCAAGAAGCGTAATAGGCGATTTCCGGGTGGTTGGTAGGTGCTCAGCCTGGGAGCCGAAATTCAAGGTGCAGGTATCATACGGGTGCCCACAGGATAATAAGGGCCACTATAGGAGAACCAATAAAGCTGCTGACTTGGATATAGCACCGCAGGATGTACGGGGAAGATCTGAGCACGAGTCCCAGGGCGAGGAGTGACCCGTCATCTCGGTTCAGACCGAGTCCTATTTCGCTTCTGCAGTCGTCTCCGCACATCCCCACAACACGCTTACTTTGACCGGTTTTTGGGCCAACAACGACATGGTTGCTCCCGCTGGTCGGCTTCGCTGGGCAGTATTAAGGCTGCTTTAGGAGATGGGCTTTCGAGGTTGGGCTACGGTTGGCTGTTGCTTTCGTGGCTTCCGGTAAAATAGTTAACGACGTAATTGTGGCATGAATCAGACGAGACCTGAAGTTGTGGTGTTCATGTTTCGTTTTTGCATTTCACTACTGTGAAGTAGTCTTATGGTATGAACCCGGGCGACCAAATGCACGCCACCCTTTATTTTCCCCATGTGAAAACCGATAAAGAAGACCCCAAGCAGGAAACGCTTTACATGACAACACCGGAGTTGCTGGCAATACGCTGTGCGTGGTGTCAGTGAAATCCATATTGCAAACGCCTTCTCGTGCGCAGAACGCAGGGAGAAACTTACGGGCCAGAGCTCAGCAGCCTCCTTACCGACGGGGCCAGTGATGGCAGAGCCCTTCATTTCACCCTTGGGATTGACGATCTGTGCCAAATCGCGTCAGCCATTTCTGTTCTCACCAGACTCCACCAGCTCCTAAATTCTTTCCAAAGTCCTCCACTCTCAGGATGCGGGGCGTGCACGTACCACACCAGCGTTGTCCTCGAAGTAGAGGTAGATACCGTCTCCCCTCCTCCAGGGCTTGCTCTGGCGGACGATGACGGCAGGCATGACCTTCTTCCTCAGCTCAGGCTTGCCCTTCTTGACAGTGGCCATGACCATGTCGCCGACACCACCGGCCGGCAGACGGTTCAGGCGCGCACCAGTGCCCTTGACCGAGATGATGTAGAGGTTCCTGGCACCGGAGTTGTCGCAGCAGTTCATGACGGCACCGCTGTAACGCAAATCAGCTTCTCGCTCGTTTTTCGCTGCCATGTTTCGCGTGGGGCATGCGCGTGCGTATGCGCCGGGGGTTGCTTTCGGGCGGATCCGGGGTGTTTTTCATGACTGGGGGAGTCGTTGCGGGACTTGAACGTACACGGGAAGACCGAGGGTCATCTTGAGCTTGTTGCCGGTGGCAGCGCGTCTGCACAGAATTGATGTTAGCGACTTCATGTCCTCCATAGAGCTCATCGCGCGATTCTCAACGCCTCCTCTCCCTCCACCGTCTGACTGCGGCCATCGCGACAGCGATTTCGGGAAGGGCGGATGACGTACCCTCTCTTGGAAGCCATTTTTGCTGATTATCCGGTGGTGGTCGGGGGATAAGGTGCGAGGGTATATTGTCGTCGTCGGCGTTCCGCAGCGATATCGAAAGTTTCGCTTCGCCTGTGCCTGCTCGGTGGGCCGGAACTCGGGCGATGTGTTGTTCCGCGCGCTAGCCCCAAACGGCGGGGAACACCAAATCTCGAGCCTCGCCCCTCTTGCTCACTACTACCACCAGCGCCGAACGTGATGGTTGAACTTTTTAAGAATTGAAATTAAAGCTCGCATACAATTCACGTATTTAGAATAGGGTATGGGAACTTCCAATGCCCTTGGCAAAGCGCTGTGCCTGGCTTGTCATGACTGTTTCGACCAACCTTCTGGACTACCCGGACTTAGGATAGCCATTGAGCAGCATGACTCTCTTCTCCTACTGCGACCTCTCCGTCTGAAAATAGCTGGAAAAGGAGACAACGGGAAAAAGTCGTGTGGCCGTAGTCAGAAGGGCCGCGCCACATTTGGGCCTCGTATCCGGCCGCCGAAGGCCGACACTTGTTTCTGGCAGCCACAGCGCCAGTGCACCTCACTATCCAGCCCTACACCGAGGCTGGCGCGCCCTACGGCGCTGAGGGAAGCTTGTCGTGTGGCTCAAGCCCCTTAATGCTCCCGCGGGAGCGCGAGCACCGCCTCGGGTTACATAAAGCGGTAGGTATCATCACGTATTCTGCTACCGCCAAGCCAAGGAGTAGATAAAAATAGCGTCCGCGTCTTCCCCTACAGAGCGTTGAATTTCTGCGGCGTAAAAATGCCGAACGGCGAATCCCTTCGGCTTCGCCTATCCGGCCATGTTTCTTCGCGGACCGCAACCGGGGCCCGGTGACGAGCGGGGCGTGCCGCCGTACCTGAAATGCCATGCATAGAGGCGCTCCTCTCCGGCGTCTCCGAGATGGGGCGCTGGATTCCCAAAATGGAGGTTGAGGACGCCATGTTGGAAGTCGACTCAAGGGAAAGCCAAGCTCACGCCAGTGGGGAAAATTATGGAACGCGGTTGATGATTCGCTTCCCGCTGCGCCGGCTCGACGGATGTTTACCAACGAGCCCTTCAGGCGTTCAGATCACCGCGGCAATCGAGCAGAGAAAAAAGATCGTTTGTTTAGCAGAGATATTACCGGACCGCGTGACGCTCGGGTCGCGACTCAGGCCTCGGGTAGAAGCAATGCGCGTTGTGGGCCGCGACGATCTCATGTCCAACGAGAGCGATCCTAGCCGAAACCAGCGAAGATGAGCAAGATGGCTGGGCACTTGGGAAAAAGTAGATGTCAAGAAACGTCATCCAATTGCATGTTGGGCACGTCGTCATGGGGTTGCGGGAATTGCACGGGTGGGTGACCGGTGTCTAGCGCGACGACAAGCAATGGGGTCAACGCTGGGGAAGTCCGCAGAAAGGCGGTCTGAATCATTCGAGAAGCATTCAGGAGAAAGGGCTGCAAGAGGTAGACAAATGCAGGACCAGGGCCCCAGCAGGCGCGGCTTCGGGATGCGACGTCAGATGGGCACGAAACGGGGACCACGCAGGCTGCGGGAGGAACCTAGGCCAGCCATGCGGACCACTTGGTCTGCTGTGAGCGGTGCACCGCGAGGGCCTCCTGATTCCCAGGGCCACGCCGACACGGGCGATCCTCCAGAGACGTCCGAATCGCGCGGCGCCAGAGGGTTGATTCAGGATCTGAAGCTTCTCGCGCTCGTGTCGAACGCGGCTCGAGCTCGGCGGCGTCGGGCGGGACGAGGCCGACTCGTATAGCGGAGGAGCCGTAGGGCTCAGGTCGCGGCGTCCGAGCGGCAGCGGGCGAGGTGATGTGCAGGCCGACGCACGCTTTATGACGATTTGCAAGTGTGTAACAGCGGCAGGCGGCCGGCGTAGGGAGAGCGGCGCGCCGCAGAGCCGCGACGTCGTTCGGCGCTGAAACAAGCCACTGATGCTCGCCAGCGGGAGCAGGGGTGCGGCGCCTCCACGCGGCGCGGAGAAGCATCAGGCGACGGGGGTGGGCAGCTCTAAATTGGCCTAGATACGAGCGGGCGGCCGACCGCGCACGTTCGGGACGGCAGACAGACAACGCGTCCTGCCGGCTCGAGGGAGGCGGCGTGGCAGGCGTCAGGCAGGTGGAGACGGGCCGACGGGGGTCACCCAGGGCCCTACGATCGCAGCCAGCCAGAGCCTATCTGAGCCACGGCGGTGCGCGCGCGTTGCTCCTCAGCGTGAAACCTCTCCGCCGCCAGGAGATGAGGCAAGGTGACACGTGCGCGCATTCCACCGCCCGCCAAGGAGGCCAGAGTGCGCGCTGCTCGGCTCTGCCCAAATTGCAATCTGCGAGCATCACGGCAGCTCCCAAAGCCTTCGCTGCCGCCGCTCTTGCTTCGTATTTGGCGTAGCTTTTTTGCCCTGAGCGGATAGTGAGCGCGCCCCGCCCGGTCGCATTGGCTCGCTAGCAGGGACCCTTGCCGGAGCCCGCAGCCTGTCCTGACGCCCAAGCGCACCAGCCCCAGCACCAGCCCACGATAACGGGCGCCCTGGACGAGCAACCACACCGCGCACCACCACGCCAGGAGCGATACGGCGCCGCCAAACGCTCTCGTCCGGGCCCGCCCCATCTGCCTCGACCGATCGCCCGCCTGCTTTTTTCCTCCTCGCCCGCCCCAGCAGCTGTCCGCTGTCGCATGCCACACCGCGCCGCCCCGCAGCTTCCTCCGCACCGCTCCTCCCACGCCCCCACTGTCTCGACATGGCCGACGAAGCCCAGGAGACGGGCCGTGTGCCCAAACAGAGCAAATGGAAGATGTTCAAGCGCGAGGACTCGGTGTCCAAGCAGGAGAAGCAGAAGAAGACCGAGGCCGACGTGATGGACTTCCTCAAGCCCTCGACCACCAAGAACGCCCCTCGCATAGACGTCGCCACCGCCCAGCGCTGGCCCGGCGCCTCAGATTTGCTTGCCAAAGCAAAAACACAACACCAGTCCGACTCCAATCTGTCGAGCCTGCCCTCGTCGCTGCGGGGCGGCCGCCCGTCACGCCCGCGCTCCAAGACGCTGACCGTCGGCTTCCTCAACGACCCGCCCCACGTCATTGGCGAAGGCGGTGACGAGTCGGAAATCCCGCCAATTGAGATCTCGCGGCGCCGTGTTGCCGCTGCTCGCGCGGCCAAGGCCGAGGGCAGGAAGTTCAACGAGGCAGACATCGGCCGGTCCATGACCGTGTCACACAGGCACATCGAGAGGCCGGACAACGTCAAGAGGGCTCACACGTCGTGGGGAGAGGTCTCGCCTGGTCTGCAAACGCGCTTCAACCGGCCCAAGTCCCCTCCCCCTCAGACCCAGCCCACGGACGCCACCGACGATGAGGAGGAAACCCGCCAGTTCCAGCGCCCGCGCGCTGCTACAGGTGCCACGATTGCGGAGGACATGCCGAATGACGAGCCAGATTTTAGGCCCGGGCCGTTAAAGCGGTCGCAGACCGGCCTGTCAGAGATGACGCCCGAATCTCCGGAAGATGATGACCCACCCCGGCTCCCCGAGCTATCAAAGGTCGCCTCCTCGTCCTCGGACGGCTCCTCACTTCATTTCAACGCCGAGTTAAACAACTACCTCTCTTCCGAGCCCACAAACCCAGATTCGCTCGCTGCCCGCGTGCAACACCAAATGCGCGCCGACGAGGGCCAAGCGTTGCATCAAGCTAGCGCAGAGCCATCGCCCGAGGATGATCGGTTACCATCCATGTCTAGCTCGAGCACGTTCGAAGTGGGATCGCCGCGGTCAATGTCGTCTACCTCATACAGAAGGCCGTCATATGATCAAGGCGCTAAAGCACCACCCCGGCCGAACCCCTTTGATGATCCGACATCTGGGCGGAGACCCTCATCTATTTCGTCGAACGGACACGCCTCTCTCACGCACTCTAATACCAGCCCTACCGACACCAGTTCGCAGCGCGACTTCATCATCAGCCCTCCCCACTCCCGCCCACCCTCCTCCGGTTACTTTCAATCAGGCCTGGCGCCTCCTGCTGTACCTCCCCACGCAGCTTCTCCCAATTCCATCGACGCCACCACCCCCACCCAGCGCGACTTTGACAGCCGCGACAGATCACCAATGAGGTCCCCTGCTCTGAACGTCGAGATCCCAAAGCAGCCTCCGCGCTCCCCCAATGTTTTGGCCGACCGCACCGCCGGCTGGAGTGCGGCCTCGTCTGGCCACCGCGCCGATCTCGCCGCCGCTGGCGATGCCGCTCTTGATGACTTCGCCGAGCGTGTAGAACACATGCGCGGGGTATTTAAGCTCACCGCAGAGGTCAAGAAGTCAGTTGACTCCTATGCGCCAATGACGTGGATGCGGGCTGCTATCTGGTGGTTTCTGAAAGGCCGCTCCGGTCTGGAGGTCATGATCAGGAATCGACCCCGCGGTCAGACGCAGGAACAGCAGCTGCTGACTCAGGCCCACGTTGATCTGGCCAAGACCTGGTGGATCTTGACAGAGGTGCTGGACAACCATCCGGGCATCAGGAAATTCGGCAAGCTTGGTGCTCAAGCTGACAAGGCCCGCGCTGCGGGAGATGAAGAGATGACGGAGTTTTTTGAGATCCAAGAGTCTACTCTTAGTAGCTTGAAGGGTCTCCTTATCTCCGTCTCCAGGAACAATGTCATGCCACCGGAGAATGCTCTGATCCAAGGCCAAAATCAAGACATTTGGGTCAACTACCCGACCTTTACGCCGGATGTGGAAGCAGTCCTCGGAGGAAAGAGCAAATCAATCGTCGTTGACACCGCTAATCGCCCCATCAACCCTCGGTCCGTTATGCCCCTCAGCGACACCAAGGAAGACTTCTGTTATGGTCGGATCTTCGTCAACGTGGGCCTCAGCTCCGAGGACGATGATGATTTGTCTGGCATCAGCCTCCCCGCCGTACTTACCATTCTGCGCCCTCACAATGATTGGAATGTCAAGATTGGCCTTTGCAGTCAAACTGACCTTCTTACCTGTGCAGTGCAAGGCGATCCGAAGAAGGGCCTTACTTGGGCAAATGTCAAGTGGAAGACTGGCACTCGTGGGCTTTCCATCCGTCTGCCCCGTGGTTTCACCTTGAATGTGGATCTGGAAGAAAAGGACTACCGCATGCTTTGGGGCATCTTTGATTACACGCGTCAGGTTGAGGCCAGCATGAACACTCGCCAAGACGAGCAGTGCATCCATGAAGTCACAGTGCGTGACCTCCAGTACAAGGACCCGCAAAACCCTTCTGCTTTCCCACCGGACAGGATCAAACGTTGCAAAGTCCGCATCTTTGAGAAGTTCGTCATGGTCAACGAAGGTACCGGGCAGCGGAAGCTCCACCGTGGCTACCGCCTCCTCATGATTACAAGTCCTAGGAGCAAGACCCTTAGTACTGTCAGCCACGAATTCACCGGGAAACGACCTATTATCTTCGAGTTCCGGAGTGACCCTGGCGATGCCAACATTCCTTTGATGATGTTGAGAATTAGGGAGGAGGGAAAGAAAATCTGCACTGCTATCATGAGCTTCAACGATACGAGAGAACGGGTGCAACTCTTCCAAATTCTCAACGGTCTCATGGTTGGCCCCGACGAGTTCTGCCCTGCTCAAGTGCCTCTGAAGGGATACTTGGTCGAACAGGTTGGAATGAAAGAGGTTTTCTCCGCGGGCCATGACATCGTGAAGAAAATGCAGTGGCAGGACGTCAAGGTTCTCAACAAGGAGCCTGACGACCCGGAAGTTGAAGTGCCGCAGACAATTCTCTCCGAGGAACTGCGTGTTATCACGAGACATGCTTGCGGCTCAATCACTGACCGCATGAACCTCGGTATGCTTGCTCCCCCCATACTGTGAAGATGCAATGCTGATAACATCCAATAGGACCCGGTGAGATGCTCGTCAGACTTGACAACAGCGGCAATCCCGATATTCACTTCCTCCGCTTCCCGCAGGACGACGCTACAGCCGCTGTTGACGCAAAGCGTGCCGATACCCACGTCCCGGATGCTATTGCGGATTTCTTGCGGACCATCAAGACCTCACCCACCATCAGAAGCTACTGTTTCAAGGACCATGAAGGTAATCAGAGGAATTCTCACGTTTAGAAGCATGTTACTGATTCCGTCTTCACAGCTATGCACAGGTTCCAGCAAGCCGTCACTGGTTTCGAGGTCAAGTATGATGGTATTGCCGCAACTCTTGCCATCTCCCGTAGGCGAATGGTTGTGCCCATTTACAAGCGTTGGGAGGCACAGACTGTGCGCCTGCAGATCCTCCAACAAGCCGGCACTTTCCAATTCTGTGCCTACATGGAAGACTTTTCGCACGCTGATGCGATGAACTTCCAAATCAAGAGTATGGATCTCTTTGAGAAGATCGAGCTCAAGGGTAGCAAGGGTGAAAGGGGCCGCTACGGCCTAAGAATGGTCGACGCGAAGTTCTGGCTGCCTCCGGAGAGGAAGAGGGACAACGGTCCTGTGGATGAAGTCGAACAGGCCAAGAGAAGGTTTGCGTGCCTTGACATGCCGGAGTATCCCGGTGAACATGATGACATTACGCTGGGTTTTGAGACCGAGGCTGGTGAGTGGATATACTTTTTCCATTCTCTATCAAGGTTGGAACGTTCCTACACTAACGAAGCAATTCTTACTACAGAGAGAAACCGATTCTCCGACGCCTTGCCAGCTGCCACGCAAGCTACAAAATTCACGTTGAGGCGGAAGATCTAAACAGATGCTTCAGCTTCAGATCATGTGCACGCATTACTAGCAATGACGACAAGCATCGGACCGTGTAAGGAATGCCTCATTTGCTCCAGAGAGCAGGCCGGATTTCACGAGGCGGCCATTTTATGTTAAAAGCTTCCTCAATTGCTTCAATTCACTCCCACAACTGCACATAGCCCGTTATTTTTTTGGGTCGGCTGCAGCTCCTTCTTCAGCGGAGGTCACCGGGTTCTTCTAGGTTGTCTAAGTCCATGGAAATTGGCGAAATGGGCGATTGTTTGGGCGTTTGATACTTTCTCCTGTGTGTTTTTACCTTCTCATTTCATGTACTAGGGGTTTCTTTCCGCACGGATACCTCACGGAGTGTCTTTTTTCAAGTTCTATAAGTTCACTTCGACCTTCTTTTTCACATTTTCCTTTTCCCCTAAGTTCTAGACTTGGAACTTTGCGGTTGAAGGTATCTCGCACAAGCTACAAGGGCGCCGGTCGAAGGCGCTCTCCGAACAGCGGAAGGCGAAGCGGGTCAGGGTCATCATGTTTTATACCATAGCTGTCAAATATGAAGGAAATAAAGCTACTGCTTTCTACTGTTTCTCTCGTGCAGCACTCGTGCCCTTGGATGTATTTGTGTCTGTACAGCCGCCAATTTTTGTATCGTTTACTAGTCATCCTGTCTATGGAGAGCATTTGCAGCGTTGCAAACCAGTCGAAGCAGAACTAGCAAGGAACACATCCATGATTCTCACTAGACCATTTGAGCCAATTAGAACCATTCACTTGTTTGACTTTCAGACCGGTCAATGTAAGACATGGCACCGAAATAGAATGAAGCAGATCATTTGTCTCGACGCCACAGAAGCGGGGCCACGTCGCGTGGTGTCTCATGATCCTCCCTTCTATTTGCTTTTTATTTTACTTTGCTTTTTGCCCCAGCCACGGCTTTGAAGGATTGCTGGATGTTTCCGTTGGCGCAACCTCCACGCGAACCGTGATGCCGCGTCATCGGTGCTGCGGACGTGGCAGGGGTCTGCCGTACGCGCGGACTCCCTTTCGGTGCGTACGCAAACCCCCCACTCCATTGCAATCCTTCCCCGGCGAGTACCGGGAGTCTTTGCGCGAAGGTCGGATCCGGGAGGTTGGTCTTCCCGCTCTGCGTGCCGCAGATGCCGAAACGTAAGTCTTCCCTCGTTTGGGGAGACGACGGAGGTGTGGCGGTGCGTCGTGTTCATTGTGGCGCAAGCATGTCGGATGCGAGACGGAGGCGGAATTTGTTCGGGAGCGGCCCGCACTTTATCTTGACCTCACGCTTCGGACGTGCGTGGGTTGCACACTTCACGTTTTCTTGAGCGTCGGTTATCGTAAGTCGTCGTCTTTGTTTGTCGTCAATCTGAGTAGTTTGTAACTGCTGGAGGGCTTTGAAAGCTGTGCGGGATACGTTCCTCGGCCCCCCTCACCGGGTCTTGCTTAACTTCGGTGCGAGCTAAACTTTCTAGGAATCCCTCGTTCTTCGGGAGCCTACGTGGGTTTCGACACAAAGTTGACCACGATACTCTCAGCATCCCTGGATTAGCAAGCCACAACTAAGAATCTCATGACCTCCGGTGATATTTTCAGCCTTGATAAGGAAGTATCGTTGGCGCCATATTACTCTTAAAATCCTGGCACATGACGGATTCATACACTATGAATTTCATGGTGGATGCGCGCTTGGTATATCTGGATGCGCTATCGGAAGAATAAGTGCGATAGCATGGTAACTTGTCTCGAAGTGTTCTAGCGCCACTTTGAAAACTATCTCCACGGACTAATCTTTGAGCTCTGAGCGGCTAATTGCGGAATCTCTAGCTCAAGCCGGCCCTTGAAGATGAGCGATGGGGGAAGCTCCCTAGAAATTCCGTATCTTTCACATGCTGCTCTATCATTGTTCTTGCATTTTCGCGTCACTTCGTGATGTCAGTTACTGTTTCGTGTGGACAGAGAGGCTTTAGGACACCGGTAAGTAAGCTTTTTAAGATCTGTGGTCAGGAATACTTCTCTATATTAGCAGAGGCCGGCGCTGAAGAACTAGCAGGCTTTCATCGACCCTCTGTTGCAAGTATATCCTTGTTCCCCCGCATACTGCTAAGCAGTTCATGTTGCACGGTCTAGATCGCAAGTTCCATGTAATTGTGTCTCAAGCCAAGATCTGACACAACCAAACTCGCAAGATAAGCATCGCTTTGCATTGATATTGCAAGCGTGTACTGCTAAAATTGAAACAGTGAGGCCAAAAGGCGTTCATTGGTGGAAGCTGCGACTAAATCGTAATTTGAACGGCAATTTTCACTCACTCCGCTGGATCTTATCTGTTGTGCGAATTTGGTATCACGTCTTCTGTTTTTCCGCATGTGTGGATCGAGCCATTGATCCAGACCCGGAATCTTCTTCAATGGATCCCCATGGTGATGGTATGTAAGGGCACTGACAAGCACTGCAAAGATGGCGCAGAATCGCACTTTCGCCAGTTATCTAGTCGTATCCACATCTGTCTAACTCGCTCGTGGCCTTGCGACGTGGCGGGGTAAGCATTACATATTCCGATCCCGCCCACCTCGGACGCTTGACGTGGCGCCGTTTCCAGATCCTCGAGTATGTACACGGCTGCCTACGCCGGTGCCAACATTGAAATTCCACCGCCGTCAACACGAGTACCCGTACACTCAAATGCTTATAAAGACTCGCTCTGGCGCTCACGAGTTCTGTTTGCTCCGAAAATCCTCAAGGCTTTCCACGATACTTGGCCAGACGAACAAGATTTTCTGAGGAAGCCACAGCGAACACTTGACAGATGTCACCTACGACCACAGTAGTAAGGAGAGAGTCACTTCTCTACTCCTTTGCCTTTGTAATTGTTGTCGCTGTGCTGACAACCTACGGAGCACTGCGCACCGCAGGCGTTTTCACCAACAGCACCACCACCGGCGGGCTAGACGTCCTCGCCATAGTTGTCGGATTCGGCCTCCTTCTCATCATGTTTTCCTTGGCAATGACTCATATGGCCGCCATGTATATGCGACGCCGGCCACCAGACATAGAAACGGGTCGGGGAGGACTCGAGCGTCGTTAAGAACGAGTGTGGGCGGCTTTCGATGTGACAAAACGACGTGCGAGGCTTAGCGACGAGGGCGCGACGCGCGTGGTTCGCGAAGCTTGTACATGTAGTCGCAGTTGCGAGCGGTTTTAAGACGGCGCGAGGCGGAGGGTTGCGCTTCACTCGAGGACGTGCAAGCCCTTCCTGCGCAGCACGGTCAGACAAAAGCGCGCGATCGTTGGATTGCCTGGAAGATGGGAGGTGGAGATTGTACAGAGCTTCATGGACCGGGTAAGGACGCGCAGCGTTGAAGTGTTTGGTTTAGTCGCGAACGTAAACACCACGCCACGCGTGTCGCGACGTCAAGGAATGCGACGCGCAAAGAGGCTGGGCGCATGGAGCGTCGCAACGTGTGAGGCGGCAGCAGGGCCTTTAGACTGATCAGCGCAGTAGGAATCTCTTCCTCAAGTACCGGCTCAAGGCCAGTAGTTTGACGAAAAGATGTGAAAATGGTCGCGTCAGCCCGAAGTAGTGCAATACGAGCGACACTGTGGCAGCTAGTATGAGCGGAGCTCAGTGACCAGCCACCCGGTTCCAAAAACAAGTTTACTGGTAACAAGCCCCCGTAGGGACGTTCCAGAGATTAAGCTGGAAAGAACAGTTACTACACTTGATCTAAGCCAAAAGGCAAAGAGAGCTGAAGAGAAAAAAGAGGAGCTTTGGTCGAGGAGTCGGGGGGTTTATATAGGCATGCCAAGACCAGTCCATCTGGGGCGCATGGGGCTGCGCTGGCCGAACAACGCTTCCAGCTAAACCAACAATGGAATGCGCATGAGGCAGGGCAACAGCGGCTCTCCTGCTCTTGCCTTGTTAGCCTCGAGCAGAAGCCCATGGAACGGGCATCTGGCCTCTTTGGGCAGTGGTGGAACGGCTGCTGCGGCGCCTGGCCCGTCACTTGATGAACTTTTCGGTCCACGGGCTGCAATCTGCAAGAAAAGGGAACTGGAGGCAAATTCGGGGTGAAGAGGTAGACAGAAGGCGCGCCTACCCTCGCTGTGTGCGTTGAAGTGGCATACCAGCAGAGCTTCGCTCCCACGGTGAGCATTGCTCGTCCATGGCATCGATACTGTGTCCACACTGCGCCAGCGCGCTGTCTGGTACTTTCAGAAAACTAGAAACCACGAAGAAGTGACACTATGGAATCATGCGATAACACTTTCTCATCTGGCCGGGACGCGTCGAGCTGTCGCAAGCAGCAGCGACAATCCGCTCAGGACTGCCCGCAAGGACGTATGTTCGTGAGGAAGACAGTACTGGTACTGGTAGAGTCTCAGTGTCTTCTGAACAAGGCTCTGAGAGTGGCGGCTGTCGCCCTGGATTGCAGGGTGAGCCCGTGGGAGCCCTCCATCACAGCCAGACCGCACCTAGATATTCTCACTCAGACTGTCTCCGCGCTCCTCTTCCTCTCCTCCACGCGCACAACCTCAACACCACCGCCCACCAACGCGAACCCAGTTCTCCACAGCGCTCCGCTCACAAGCCGCCTCTCTTCTCCTGCTCTTGCGCTCCCGCACGCGCTCACAAAGCCAACCGTACGCGCTCAACCACCCTCATCTGCTCAAGGCCGTCCGACTAACACTCACCCGCTCTCAGACAAAAATTCCACCTCCAACCGCCGCCGCTCCTCGCAACAATGAAGGGCAACATGGGCGTCTTCATTGCTCTGGTCGCCAGCGTTGCGACCGCGGCGCTGGCCTGCGTCTTCTTCAAGCGCTGCGTCTTCGCCATCCTGGTCCGCCGCCCTCACCGCCGCGGCGCCTTCATCGTCGCCCGTCACCAGCGCCCTGTCAGGATCCCAGTCTTCATTGCCCCCGTGATCCCGATGCGCGATGAGGAGCAGGGATACGAGCTGCAGTCGGGCGTCGGCCACCACTAGCAGCAGCACAGCAGCAGCGACATCTCTTGAGGGAAAAGGCCAAAAATCTATAGCTAATGGTAGCTCCGATAGCCGCTCACAAGGAGTGTCCGGAAATAGATTTTCGAAACCGAGGTGATGCCATGCCTCATGTCAATCTGATGTATGACCTGAAAGAGATGAAGTGCGTGGCTGGCATGACATGCAAGATCACGATCACGACTACGAGGGTGCTACAGAGGGGTGCTGCAGCCGATGGCTAGCGCGAAGATTAGCAGGGCCCTGGAACATGGCATAAGTACGCCTCAGTTCCTTCCTTTTTTTTTCTAATGATAAAGAACATGAGTAGGTAGTTGAAGCTATCATCTGGATGTAAATGTGGAATTAATAATTATACATTCACGTCCGGACAATAGCTTCAACTACCCACAGTATGAAATAAATTCACGCTAGCCGTCGGCTGCAATATCCCTCTGTAGATAGGAGAGCAAGCGGTCAGCTACTCAAGCCACCCGTGACCATGCCAACAACCAGGTTACGTTGGGAGCTTCTAGAATCTGTGTCAGGCACATCTTGCTTCGCCTCCGTTGTCAAAATTCGATTAGGCTCTCCTGTACTTTCCAATGATCTCTTTCGCTCTCCCAAATCGTCTGCAGCATGCCTCTGATCTCCGTCTAGTGACGATCCACTGTGCAGGTTTCGCGGATGCGTTCCCTCATCTTGTTGGCCATTTCCACTATGTTGAATGTGAAGACGCCTGTGGGATCCAGTGGTCCGGTCTGGTGCTCTTTCATGGATTTGCTTGTAGGTCGGTACTATTTAGATGGCCGGATCCCGCTCCCCAGCGCGAATTGATGTGTCTGTCGGCTTTCAGGTCGTCGCTCGTCCGAAATCTCTAGCACATAAAGTATCCGTCGCAAATGTGGAAGTCGAGCCCAGGACTCAATCCAGATTGACGCTGCCTGTGACAGACATCAACCCGCGCGTCGAATATGCACACTGTCGCCCACTAGCCAAGGGCGGGGTTTCCTCTTTGTCTCAGGTAGGAATTTTGCCGCTGTTCTCCGCTTCAGCGGCTTGCTATACTGATCACGGGGTACTGGAAGCGTTCTGACTCGATTCTTGCACGATTACAACGCTGTAAAATGCGTATTGTAATTAACTCGTGTGCTTTGGTACGTTAATGTGCGGATTATCGGGGAAACTGTCAAGATGCAGAGGTACTAGCCTACATAGCCATGAGAGAATTTAAATGTGACAGTTGTATTCGACCACGAAAGTGCCTTTGTGTCAAATCAAGCGAATGGAGGAGGTTTGCTTACCGAAGCCACCATTAGGAAATTTGACTAGATTTGGACGCCGTAAGATTTGGAACTCTCCTGAAGTCAGTTAGATGTATTGTCCGACCAGTATCGAAGGAAGGGTGCGATTCCTCGAGGAGACGAGTTTGAGATGGATGACTTTCACCGCAATCCCATGTGCTCTCAATTCACTTATTCATGAATAATGAGACGAAAGCCAAGGGGGACCAACAATTCGACCCCTCACACAACCATCGACAGTGGCCAATTTCCGAGCTTCAGTCGATTGGGTGTCCTGAATTGCCAGGGGGTCAGCCGCCAATCTCCCATCTGTCTTCGGTGAAGCCAAAATTTCCGCTCTTTCCAGCCTAGCAGTATTATGGACGGTCCCACTCAGTATATTTTGAGAAACTAGCGCCTCCACCCTCAGAGTACCAAGAGATGTGCCACCTCCGAATCTGACATGCTGAGTGTTGCGTACGTTCATAGCGTTCGGCAAGGTAGCTGAAGTTGGCGTAGGTATGGACCATGAATTTTCGTGGTGTATAATTGGGCGCCGGTGTTGGCAGGTGCGATCGCCAAGGGGTGTAGTTACTGCTTTCTCTCGGGCAGCTCAATACATGACCTGTTCACCTCCTTAGCTACGCGTCTAAGCCTTTCGTCAGTGGGGCTCAACACGGGGGGCAGAGAATAGTGAGATCGTGGAGTGACAGGGCGGCGCGGTCTACGATTCGGTCGCCGGTGGCCGTGACAGTCGTCATGCGGATGTGATGGTGGCGGACGGAGGTGTAGAGACGAGCGGGGCTCTCTGCGGTTGGAGAGAGGAGTAGTCAGCGCATTTTCGTTTGGAAAGGAGGATTCGAGCGGGTGGACGATGAGAGATGGGCAGGTGAGGGTTAGGGGGAAGTCTGGAGCGTGTGATTAGGTCCGATGGCAGGAGAGGGTGATGAGGAGGGCGGTCTGGAGTCTGGAGGCTGGAGTTGCCAGCCTGGGCGGCGCCACTGAGCAAAGCAGAGTAGAGCAGAGCAGCGCTCGCCACCCAGACCGGATCACCCAGACCTTTCAAACGCGGCTGGCCTTTGGCATTTGATGCGCATTTTCGCATTGACATCAATTATCCGGAAGTATTCGCATTTCTAGACCTCAAGTAGCGTCTCGCTACTTCAGAGTATTTGTCGGGCACCGCGTTCAACTACGACCGGACATCGAAGACGGTCGAGGCTGGATGATCGCGTTGCCGAGAAGAGTGTCGTACATTATAAAGGCATCTTACCATGTGATTGAGACATTACTTCGCCGCAACGGCCGACTACCCGGGTTGAACGCCGCCGACATCGTTCGACGGCACAAGCCAAGCACAAGTCAGGATCGTGAGATCATCAAGGCGGCGTGCTGCTATGCGGCTAAGAAACAGTCACTCGCCTCTCCAAAGCGGCTGACGAAGCCAACCGAAGGCAGTTGGGAACCGTTCCTGCTTTGGGTGGAGCGTCCTTCCTCGAACCAAAGCTCAGCGCTGCGACCTCTCCGACTTCACCAGGGACCGAAGCTGAGGCTATGTAGCTTTTCTGCCTTTGTCAGACTCTTCTCCTCTCTGTTTGTGCACGCCCGCCGTCACCGGGTCGACGAGTAGGAGGATTTTGGCGACAATCAGGATCAATGGACGGCGCGAGACTGGAAATTGGTGAGACACAGACAGGCGCTGCTTGCTGTGTCGCACATCATGAGTTCGTCGAAAGTTTGCGCGTCGTGCTGCGGCGCAATAGGACGCACATGTGGTTGCTTGGTCGGTCAGAACAAAGGGGAGCGCAAACGCGCGCTGGACTCTGACCTGCAAGAAACTGTGGAATCCTCGCACTGTCGCTCAAACGTCAAGACACAGCCGGAGAGACATTTTTTGTTGCTTCAGAGCCTTGCGGAGTTGTGAAGTGGCGCGGAAGAAAGTCATGGAACCGACGAGACACCCGAGGGCGAGACAACAGCCGGCGCGCGGTGCACCCAAGTTCCAGCCAATCTGTGGCGGCTCACATACAGCGATCGGGATTCCTTCTTGAAGGTCAAGGAGCATCCGACAGTGTTCCTTTGGGTCCTATAGCAAGGTGATGCCCGCGACAGCAGCGTGGTTCTGCCCCTCGACGTGTGGCCACTCGGTCTAAGATTTGACATCACGGGCTGCCACATCAAGCTTCCTGGGTCATCACCGCGGCATTCGGTCTGCCAGCAAGGCACATGCTGAGTGCTGGATCGGTGCGCGCTCCAAGAGACTTCCTATCTAGAATCGCGGGCAGAAGTCTCCATGAAGATCTAGTTCGCCATAGCGCCGCTTCGCTCTGGGGGACAGAATCGCATGGAGCATTCCAATCGCTCTCCCACCTCACAGACGTCCCAAAACGGAAGCCGCACACCCCAAAGCCTGCGCACGTGTGGTGCAAAAGCTGCATGTGCCTGCCCCTCATCCGCCTCCACCGCCCATCGGCCTGGCATGGGCTTGGTCGGCAGACCAGGAAAAGGCAGTCGCATGCCTCAGTCCTATAGCTAAATCTAGTGCAGCGGAAGGCAGTGTAGGTCGCTCTTGCCCAGACAGGCAGACGAGGACCACTGGACCCCGTAGAAACGGCATAGCGCCTGGGTAAATGTGGGTCCACGGAGGAGGCAGCTGCCCACAATCGTCGCCCGGTGCCTGGTTGCCCGGCTGCCAGCGCCTCCGCCTGCAGCTGCACGCATGGGGCTTACTAAGCGAGGGCTCCTCCAGCGAGCATAAAAGCCCATCTACTGCTCATCCAAACCATCTTCTTTTCCTCATCGGCCTCCCGACCCACGGGAGGTCCCAAAGAAAACAAAGCTCCTGAGTATACCTTGATCCCCATTCGCGTCATGGCTACTATAAACAGTTCTTTCTTCCGAGTGGCACCGGCCTAGGAAACAGCTGAAGGTCCAATTCCTTCTACTTGAGGGTCCAATTCCCTTTACTGGAGGTCCAATTCCTCCCTATACTTTTTTTTTCGTTGATCTTCTTGCTAGAAGCAGGAAATCGAGGAAGAAAAGCCTCTCTGAAGTGACTTGAAGAGATGCTTGCTCATGGCGTTGGTCTCCCTTGCTCTTGGTGCCTCTTTGGCTCCTTGCGCTGCGCGGTCTCTGCGCCTCCTACTCGTCCTTCGCAAGGCCGCTGCTGCGCTGATGTCGTGATGCGCGTCTTCAGGCGACGATAGTCGTCGCTGGTGGAGTACACTCGAGCACACGGTGGACGACGCCCGTCTCGGAGGTGAGGCGGCTGTGGAGTTGCAAGCCGCGCACCGCTCATCGCGCCGAGCATGCGACGTCCACAGCACTCGGCTCGCTGGAACGCGGATTGAATCGCTCTAGCTGAAAGCGCGCGCGAAGCCTGTGGGAGTGAGCCTGGTGTTGCAGCGCCGGTCGCACGCCCGCGTGGTCGCGAGACGCCATCGTGCAGGAGGCCACCCATGCGCCTTGTCCGCGCGTTTCGCCCGCGCGCCTTGCAAGCTTCTTCGAGGCGACCCGCCACAGGCTTTGTGCGCTTTCATCTATCGTGAGGCTCTCTCGTCGCGGGTGTGCTCTGATGGCAACCGCCGGTGGCTGGACAGACCGTCGCGTCGTCCCAGGCCGTGGTCCGGCTGCGCTGGTCGGTCGCATCACTTCAACATAGTCGGCAGGAAATGGCTGCCACTGGCGCCCTCACTTATTTGAAAGCCATGAAGAGTGATC